AATGACAATATCAAGTCTAATGAAGCAAATATAAATATTAGATTATCTTGATGAACTAATAGACCTAAAGCTAATAATGTTGAACATCCAGGTGTGCCTATGATTATTGTTTATGCTGCACATAAAATGGCTCCATTTCAATTTGAATATAACAAATAACCTAAACCTATTGTTGATTCGACTGATGATTTCTATTTCCAAAATCATATTACTAATGATATTGGAGATAGTACTGTACTTGCATCATAATTTATGGCTCCAGTTATTAAATGGATTTATGAACATCATCATGGATTAACCAATATCCCAACTAAATTAGTTGAGTATTGTTCATAATATAATGGAGATGCTGTATGTATCATCTATCTATGATTCTAAAGATTCTTAAGGATAAAAATTATTTACACAATCAGGATATTTAGGTCTTACTTGTTCTTGCAAATTTTAAAAACTGCATTCTTTATTATTAATCTATTTTTAGGGAATTGATCATTGTGGACATCCTTGTATGATCTAAGATACCTTATTCATACAATTCTCTTCTGATATCTTAATGACGAAACTGAACTCAAAAATATTCATGAAGGATGTACCAATTTTAACATTCCAAATTCTATGTAAATATTAATTATATTTATTTATTTTATTTTATTTTCATTCCTATGAATTAAACTAACCTACCTTTATGTCATATTCATCAATTACCTATCATCTAAATTACTTTAATTACTTCACCTAATGAAGACTTTCAAATGTTTTGTCCTAAATGCCCTTAAACTTAAAATTAGACTCTTGATGTTTAAACAATTTTAAATCATCTTCAAATGATTCAAATTACATAACAACCATCTATTTAAAACTATATTTAGTTTCTATTAAGTAGAATCAATACTATTTAATAAGATTTTCTTTAAACAATCCAACACTTTTCTAAATAAGTTAAAGATTAAATTAAATTTTACTAATCACAACTTATCACACCTGAAACTACCAACTATTTCAATACTATCGAAAAATTTACTATTGATGATTTAAAATAATTAAGTTCAATTTTTGCACTCAATTTTCAAATGGATAACAATTCTTAATACTAAAAAACTAACTATATCTTAAAATAATAAATTACCATACTTCATCATAAAATTAAAGAAGCTAACTAACTCAAATTATAAATTGAAAATTCTTTTAATCCTGATTACTAAATCTCAAGTTAAATCTAAACTGATGAAGAAGATCATTTCTCAGATATTCCAAAAGAATATAAAAATTATATTGAAAAACATAAAATTGAATATTCTTCTCAAATAAAAGGAATATAATTCAGCTATGATAATCAATATATTTTTGCTTTTAGTCATGAATTACCATTAACAGCATTTAAAGTTGTAGATAACAAATTAGCTATTTATTAATAATTAGAAGATAAACCCAATAATTTATATAAAATTTCGACTAGTAAAATTGCTAATAGAATTTATGCCACTTTTGGTAAAATAATTCAAATTTATGAAGAAAATTAAGAGAAACATTGGAATCCAACTTAAAATTTTGATATGAATTAAAATATACATTTAATTTAAGTTAGTGTTGATGAAAAAATAGCAATAGCTTAGCTCAGAAATATAACAATTTTTTATCCCTTATAAGACAATAAGGAAAGTAAATAAATATCACTACCTTAAAAATACAAGAAAATCTTTCGTGATTTAAGTTTTAACTAAAAGGGATAGCTTTTAGTAACTACTAATGAAGAAGTGTTGATTATTTGGAAGATTTGTAATCAGAACCAGATAGAAATGTATTAATGTTTTGAAAATCAATGGTCAATATATGCATAATTTAATGATTCATCTAATGATATTATTTGTTCTATATCTTCTGGGGGAAATCGTCATTTCTGGATACCTGATAGTAAAGGAAATTTTTATGAATCTTAATCAATTTATACTAGTTAATGCACTTTTGGATGCACAATCAAATTTAGATTAAACTCTAAATTAGTTATTTTGGGAAATCATTCAATTGAAATTTTAGAATAAGATTAATAAAACAATGATGAATGGATAGTTTAGTAAAAGTTTAAAATTAATTGTTGGAATCTTGATGTGTCAAAGGATGCTAAATATATTGTAGCTGATGATTTTTCTAAGCTTTGTCTTTTTGTAAGAGAAGAATGACAAATAAATATGTTTAATTAAAAATTTAATTTGATTTAAATAAAATTATTTTAGTATTTTTAACAAAAAAAATCTATCTTTAATTTCTAAAAAATCGTTATCCTAATAATAATAAAAAAAGCTGATATTATTGTACATAATTTTTCATAGGCATCTCTTGCTTTCTACTTTAAAACTTAAACTTTTATTTTTATTTTTTTGAAATTTCCTTATAACTCATTGTTGAATGATTTTTTAAATAAATTTTATTATTTCTTAGTTATCATTAGGAGTCGGATACTCAGATGAGAGTTTAAAATTTGATTGTATGAAATAAGAAAATATAATCAGCTTAATTTAAATATTTTATTATTAATTAGTTATTTAATTCTGAGTTATTTGTAATAATTCTTAATCCTAACAAGATCCTTGACTATGTATTTAGTTATATTGATTTCTGAAGATCAATAAAAGGCCTCTATGTTATTGATCTCATTTTCTTTAACTTAATTCATATACAGAAGAATTCAATTTTAAAATTTTGCTAGAATTGTTATGAGGTTATAATTATTAATTTGATTATTTAACAAATTATCATATAGATGATACATTTGAAAATCATCTTTTTGAATATTTGCACTTCACATATATGTGATTAATGGTTTTAGTTTCAAGAAGATAATATTTCAATTTTTTTTCTATAATTTTTAACCTTTCATTAAAATAAATATAATATGAAATTATTTAGGTTTGCATACAGATTCTCAAAATACTCTTCATAGAATCATTCACTTTTATAACAAATATATTCATATAACTATAGAGATCACTATATTGCTTATATGATTTTAGATCATTAATCAAAATCAATAATTTCAATTGATCCTGGAGATTTTGAAGCTGCTTTCTATAATATAAAAAATTTGGAAATAAATTCAGGATATAAATTGAATTATATCTTATAAACGCATGGAAGATCAAATCATACTGCAAGTGTTTTGGAACTCTATTCAAAATTTAAAGAAGCAAAAGTTTATAGTGGAATCGTTGAAAATCAATTAGGCACACTGTTTTAAACTGATTTTGCGAGAGAATTTTAACCTTTTTAAATAGGAGATTTAGCAATTTGTTACATTTAAGCAAATGGACGTAATTTAATTTTATTTTTTATTAAGACTCCTTTGATAATTATATGATAGCTATTACAGATACTAATTCTTAATCAACTAAAATTCCTATTTTATTTTCAGGTGATACGATATTAGTGAAGTATATTCTTATAAATTATAGTAAGCAATGTTGGTGAAATTGAGGATTATGGTAAATTTTTTGCTACACTTTAAAAATTAAGAGGATTTCATGATGAAACTCTAATCTTTCCAGGTCATCTTCCTTAGTAGGAAGTTTTTCTATTTTCTAAAACTCTTGAACCAGATAATATTATTATTTAAAATAAAATGGGATTAGATAATTTGATTCCAACAACATTAATTGAAGAAAGAATGGGAAATCCATATTTTAGATATGCGTAATTGAATGGCAAAGTTAAAGAACCAGATCCTATTAAGTACTTAAAAAAATTAAAAAATATATAAAATAAATATTTTAATGGATAAAAGGTATGAGAAAGAAATGAAGTATACTGAAAAAATCAGTTATCATGTATAAGAATTCTAAAATCTTACTAAATATTATCTTACAAATTACATGTTAGAAGAAAAGGAGAAATGCTATTAAAAAAATACCAAATTTGAAAAATCTCCAGACAACTATGTTAAATGTGCCTTAGAATTAGTCAATTAATTTAATGAAATGTCCAAGAAGTTTAGATATTAAGGCCTTTACTTTGAACATCGATTTGTTGATTGTTTGAAACATAGACCAGATGAAGGAGATAATTATAAATGCATCTAAAAATTAGAAAAAGATTTAAAAATTGAAGCTAAGAAAATTACTCCTAAAGAGTGAGTTATTTTATTACAAATTTTTATTAATGTTTTGCTACATTATATATATTTTCAACAATAATAAATATATTCAAAGTATGATATAATTTTAGATATCATTTATTCTGTTCCATCTTTTATTTAAAAATATCAAAAGTTTTCTAATGCATACTTATTAAATAAAGATTTAACAAACTTTTAATTCATTCTAATTTTATTTGACAATTTTTTATTTTTAAGTTTTGAATATAACATTAAGGGAAAGTCAAAAAAAGTAAGTATATAAAACATTTAACAGATTATAAGGTGGATTTATTAATGTATTAAATATATATAAGTTAAATAGTTAGAAAAACTTTGATTGAAATCTTATTGATAAATCATTAAAAATAAAAAGTATTTTTAATCAAAATATTTTCATAGTAAAAATTTTTCAAGTACTTTTGAGGTATATTTTTAAATTATTTATTTTTAGAAGCAAATATATAAGTTTACTATGTTTTCTTAACAAAAGTTATTAAGAATGTAATTAAAAATTATATTTTTTTAGATGTTATATTCTTTTCAAATCGAAGTTCATCAAAAATAGAGAATTATTCTATAATTATGGTTATATCAAATAGTACAATGATAAATGTTCGTTTAAAATAATTTAATATAATTTAATTATTTTTTTCTATTAATTTTGATTTACGGATGAACAATTTAATTTTGAAATAGGTGAGATAATATCAATTGAAATCAATTATAGGTTAAGGATCTTTTGCAACAGTATATTTAGGATTTAATGAAGAGAATTAGAAATTTGCTATAAAAGAAATAAAACTTGATTTTATTGATGCATCAGAAGAATCTCAAAAATTATTGAGATATTTTGATTAAGAAATAGAGATATATTAGAAGACAAAGCATAATAACTTAGTTTGTTTAAAAGAGGAATTCACAAAAGGAGATTATCGTTATTGTATATTTGAGTATTGTAGTAAAGGAGATTTAAATAACTTTACTAAGAGAAATATGCTTAATGAAGAAGAAGTTAAGATAATATTTACCCAAATTTTAGCAGGAATGAAATACCTTTATGAAAATGGGATAGTACATAGAGATTTGAAATTAGATAATATATTGATAGATGATGAAAATATTATAAAAATAGCAGATTTTGGATTTGCTAAATATTATCAATAGAATGATGTATTTAATTCTTATTGTGGAACTCCAGCAACAATGGCTCCAGAAATATTAAAGTATTTTAACTCTAAAATTTAATAGTTAACAATAATATGATTTTAAATGTGATATATGGTCATTAGGAGTTATTTTATATTATATGATTTTTAAGAAGTATCATTGGAGAGGAAATATTAAGAGTATAATTGATTTGCAGAGATAATATTAAAATTTTACAGTAGAATATTTCTATATATATTTTTAGGTTAAATTCGATAGTTCTATTAAATTTTCAAAATAAGGAGAAGACATTATAAGTAGAATGTTGACTTCTGATAGAAATAAAAGAATTACTTACGAAGAATTGTTTTCTCATCCTTGGTTGGAAGGAAAACTTGATTAAAAATAAAATTTATTAGAATCATAATACATAATTCAAAAAAAATTAACAACAATAACACCAGGATAAAGAATTGGCAATATTATTAAATAATAAAGAAAAGTGAAAGGAGAATTTTGTAACATTCTTGATTAATGTATAAAGGATAGTAAATCTGAGAATATAAAATAAAAATTTGTTAATTTTAAGAAATTAATCAACTAATAAAAATTTCATGTAAAAAAATAAAATATGATTTTAAGATTAAAATAATTTCAAATGTTTTGAGTGATTAATAAGACTTTAAGCTTTTTGATTATAGATATGAGTTATATGACTTTTTGTTTGATCTTTATAATTAATGTGAATAAGAAAATCGTGAAACAGCTTTTAAAGAACAAGAATTAATTAATTTTATAGAGAGAAATCCTTTGTCTAATGGAATTACTTTTACTTTTGAAAATTTAAGTTCGATAGAATAGATTGAGAATATAAAAAGTTCAATAATAGAAGAAGATTTAAATAATTTAGAAGATGATACAATATGGAAATTTGATAGAAAAGAAACAAACGAAGCTAAAGTAGATTTAGTTTAATGGGGATGTGAGGATAGAGTAACTTTGAGCTAAGTAGAGCAGATGTATAACTTTCATGTTAATAAATTTAATAATATATTAATTAAAAATTGAAATTTGAATGAATATATTTGATATTCTTAACTCACAATTTGTTAGTCAAGCATAATATGATACAATTATTGTTTAGTAAAAGGCTTACTAATAATATTATTCTTAGTTATAAAATGATCCAAACAAAATTGCTGAAATATGGCCAATTGTAAGATAGGCAGGAATATTAGATATCTGTTATGAGAACTATAAATGTATTATTTTAATATATTATTAATAGATTTTGCAAAAGAAAATAAATTATATTCATTAGAACCTATTTAGAAATTGATTGGTGATACTCTTGAGGAAGAAGGGAAAATAGATTACTTGTCAGATTTCATTAAATTTATGGAAATCAAATAAGATAATCGATTATTTGATTTAGTTAGGATTCTAGTTGAGAAATATGAACTTGAATATGATATTTAGGATAGACTTAAATTATTAAATAATTTGAATTTCAAAGAGCAATATTAAACAATTACTATAGAATTATTGAAATTGTATGCAGATAAGATATATTCAGAAGAAGGCTTTTTAAATGGTTTATAAGAATTTGGAGCAGCTTTAGAGTCAATTGAACCATTAGCTAAAAATATTATTTAATAAGTTCATGCAGATAGAACTATTAAGAATATGTTTGAAGCTGTTCTATATTATCCTGATACAAGTGATCATCTACATGAATTTAAATAGAGTATGGAAGTAACTAAAATGTATGCAAATATGGATTCATGTTTATAATAATAAATGAAAAAAAGATTATTGATTTCAGGAGTCAATACAGAAACTATTTTAAAATTCTATGTGAATTTATTAAAAGTTTTATAATTTGTTGATTCAGATTATATGGTATTTGATAAAGTTACAAAACCAATCAAAGAATATTTATTATAAAGATCTGATTTCTTAAGATGTATTATTGGAATCTTGACTTAATAAAATTATTCAACAGATAAAGTTATGATATTTGAATAATAAGAATCATCTGATGAAGAAACTTCTTAAGAGAAAGACTTAACAAGTGTTTTAGTTAGTTTATATGGATCTTAAGAAGCATTTATAAGTGAATATTAAAACATGGTAGCTGAAAAAATATTGACACCAAAGGAATTTTCATTAGAATAAGAAATTGCCAATATTGAACTTATGAAAATTCGATTTGGTGAACAATCTATGAATACATGTAGTATTATGATGAAAGATATTTATGAAAGTAAACGTATTGATACTAATATTTAATCATTAACAACTTAATTTACTATGTTAAAACCATTATTTTTGAGTAAAACTTTTTGGCCTATTAGTTATGAATTTAAACCTACTTTTAAATTACCTCCAACTATTGAATAATTATTTAATGATTATTAAAAAAAATTTGAAAAAATTAAAACTATGCGTTCCTTATTATGGCATCATGATTTAGGTAGTGTTACTTTAGATTTAACTTTTGATAATGGAGATTTTTAATTTAAATGTTTACCTATACATGCTTGTTTAATTGGATATTTTAATGATGATGATTCTAAAGGATTATATAGTGATGCATTAACATAATAATTGTAAATGAATCATGAAGATTTAAAAAGAAGAATGTAATTCTGGATTTAAAAAGGAGTTATTAAAGAATAAAAATGTGATAATGATGTAATCTAATATACTGCTGTTAAAACATATATTCCTTAATGTATAAAATTTATTTATTCAAGCTTGTGATGATTTATTAATTGAAGAAATACCAGAAGATTTATTTGTCTCATCTACTAATTTTTTATAATCCAATCAACTCATTCAATAAATTTCTCATAATTTGATTGAATTATTAAAATAAACTGGCACTCTTAAAATTGAAAAAATTGTTTAATTATTTAAAACTACTTTCAAAAGTGAATTTTCTACTCCTGTAACTGAAAACAATATTAAAGAAGCTATTAAAATATTAATTCAAAAAGGAAAATTGTAAGGATCAGAATATATTGAATTAAAATAATGAATCTATAAAATACAAATTTATTTATTCATTCTTTCTTTTTATTTTAAAACTCAATTACTAAAAATCTCATCACCTTTTTCAAAATTTAATGAATTTATAAATATTATAATCTAATTAAAAGAAAACATTACTTAGCTTTAATAGCTTAGGAAAAATCTTTTTTTTTTTCAAAAACAAATTTTTTTGTAAATATTTTAGATTAATTTAACACATTGTTAATGATTCTCAAAATCCTAAAGACAATTTAAAATTAGTATTGAATAGATCAAAAATAGAATTTTAATTAGGGGTATATTGTAAAGCCTGGACACTTATTTTCAATTAAAGTAAATTAAAAAAATTAATAATGAGTAGTCAGTCATTTAACTTATAAATAAATGAGCTAAAATTTGTTAATTTTTCTTAATTAGAAATTTTGACTTAAAAATCTAAATGAAGTAATGTATTTGATTTAAATAGTTTATGATATATTATTAATTTTAAGTGAAAGAGAGTATATCAAAACCTGTCGATATTTTTTTTGAAGTGATAAATTTTAACAATTGTTTAATCAAAATTAGGTGATATTATTTTTAGAATTAAGAAATTCTAAAACCCTAATTTATAAATGATTAAAGTTTTTATATATTTAATTAATAATGAGCTTAACATTAGTATCCTTCAATATTTGCCCATATGTTTTAAGAGTGGTTGCTGCTTTAAACCATTTAAAGATTCCATATGAAATAAAATATATTGATTTGGAAAATAAACCTGATTGGTTTGTTAAGGCTAGTCCATTAGAAAAAGTGCCAATTCTTTTTGTTGGTGAGACTGTCCTTTTTGAATCATTGGTTATTTTAGATTATATTAATACACTTGCTCCATAATCATTACTTCCAAATGATAATTTATAAAGAGCATTAAATAGAGCTAGAGCAGAATTTTCTGGAGAAATTATTGGTACATTCTGGAGTGTATTTTCAGCTAAAACCGAAGATGTATAATATTAATATAATATTTTTAGTCTTTTAAAAATAGTTTAAATGATTTGAAATGGTATTTTGAGAAATTAGAAGGTTGGTTGTAATAATCTAAATTCATTTTCAGCAATGAATTAACTTTAGCTGATTTTGCTTATGCTCCAATATTCACATTATTAAGTGCACTTAAACCACTTTTAAAATTCAATCCATTTGAAGGATTTCCAAGATTACAAGAATATTATGAAAATATTTTATCCATTCCAGGAGTTTAATAAAGCAAAGTTGAGAATTATGATTAACTTATTTAAGAAAGAATCACAAAAGGTGCACCTTTCTTTTTGACATTATGATTTATATAAATAGATATATTCCAAATCATTAATTATTTAATTTCTCATTTTGTATCAGAGATAATAATCAATAAAATTTATATATTAATTTATATATTCCCTTATTGCTAATGAATATTAAATACTTTTTTAAAAGAAATAATAAAATTTGAGAATTTTGATTTTATATTTTCAGATAAGAGTTTAAAGGATATGTTATATTAAATAATTAGAACATATATTAAAAATATCATGGATAATAATTATAAAATAATTAAACTTAATAAAAATAATCTGTGAAGGTTTTTTCTATTTGTTTATTTTAAGTTGCCATCTTAACTAATTATTATTATTTTGGTATTATTGAATAGAGTTTATCCAATTTAACATTAATAATTTAATCCCATTCTTAACTTTTATATGGTTACATTCTTTATTTAAGTTTAGAGAATAACAGATTAAAATCATTAGGCATTCTTTAAAAGTATCTTAAAATCAAAACTGAAATATCTGAGATTCTTATATTGTATAAAAAGGCTCCAAATAAACAATTCTCTGCTATTAATCTCTATTATATCTAAAGAATTAAAATAATATTTACATATTAAGAATGACTGAATTAATCGTATGTTTAGATATCTGATATAATCTTTAAGCATGTCATTAAGGATCGTTTTTCTTGTATCAATAATGCGCAATTAATAAACTAAATAAATTGTATATAGAATTACATCCAAAATAATTGCAAATATTTCATCAGATATCATTTGTCTAGTAATTTCAAATTCCAATAACCATTATATCACATAAAATAATTACGACATTTTGTGTATGTAGTTACTTAAATCATTTAGATTGATATATTTGAAGATTAATAAAATTGATTGATAAATCTAAATTCTAATTTGTTTCTTACTTGTTGTTAATCTATTTAAGTATTTTAAATTTTAGAATATCTTCAATAATTGGAGTAGAGGTTTATAATAGAGTTTATAAATATTTTATATACTTTTTTATCCTAATTATCTTTCTTAATTGAATTCTTTATTTATAGAATCTAAATGAAACTAAACTTTCTTGACTACTTATAAAATCCATTCATAAAGTTAATCAATCATTACTTATTTTAATTAACCAATCTATCCAGTAGTATTAATCATCATTCTTGTTAATTTTAGCATATCAAAATTTATACTCTAAGCAAATAATGTTAAATAGGCTTTATCATCAATTATTTACATTATTACTCCATAAAGACTCCTAACATTTTCATTTAACATACTCTAAAGTATAAAAACTATATCTCCAGTATTTTAAATTTAATCTAAAAATAAAACGACATCATTTTTAAATTTTTATATTAATTGATCAGATGCTAGTTAATCTTTAATAGATTCATTTTCAACATTAAGTAAATACATTTTTACTTTATGATAGAGTGTAATAATTTTTTAATTAGGAATCATTCGAAATTCGTGAAATTCTGAAAAACATTCTTTTGGGATATTTATTTGATTTATTTAGTAAAATTTATCTTCCATTCTTATTTTTGCATTAATGAAAATCTTTAAAGATTTTTATATCAATAATTAATCATTAAATAAGAATATTCTATTGAAATTAAATATAGTTTTTCGATCAATTTACATTTTTTATATAATTTCTTCAAATTTTATAAGAGTTTATTAATCAAAAAGTACCTTCCAAAACTTATATAAAAATCTATCTGTAAAAGGAGATTAATTTCTTAAATACAAGAATGCAAAATCAAATGCTTTACTATAAAGTTCTTAATAATGAAATTATTTAAACATCTCTAAGTTTATTGGATATAAGAATTATTCCATTTTATAGAATTGTAATTTATTAATGACATCAAGTTGATAGGTTGTACTTTTAATTGATGCAAATAAACCCATAGTATAATGTTTGAATGCCATTTCTTAAATATTTTAATCGTTATTTAATTGAATCATTTAAGCAAAGAACTCTAAATATTATTCAATCATAAAACAACTAATTTCTTTTAAAATGTGTTTAATATTGTTTCTTAAAAATTAATCATTTATCCATTAATTATTTTAAATAATCCAAGAATTAAAAAAGCTAGCAATAATAGGCATAACAAAGGAATGTAATTAAGTATAATCAAATTATCTTTAAAATCTAATTAGATTTCTTAGAAATTTGAGTCCAACTTAAACAGCATCTATAGAATTTAAAGTTTTAATTAAATTTAAGTTGAATTCAATCCATTAAGGAGTGTGATTAGCAAAGATAGTCTTACTAGCAAAATTAAGTAAATTAATAGAATTAATCTTTGATATATCTGATACCATAATATTTGTAGTGATTTAGTAGATAATATCAATACTTTATTTATCATTAGAATAATATTTTTAGTAAATTTTACATATTTTACCAAGAGATTCCCAAATTTTAATGTTTAATGGTAATAATTCAGTTAATTTGGCAATGAATTATTAATATTTGACTATAGACCAAACCATTTTAATATGATTGGTTATTGGATCCATATGATCTAAATGTTAATTTTAAATCATTTTTTCAAGTTCATTTTAATCTAAAATTTGGAATTTAATTTCTTTCATTATTATTTATAGATTTCTTTTATTTTTAACTTCAGCTCTTTTAATTTTATGCCAATCTTTTTCTTTGAAATCTTCTCTAATTTCTGAAGATAATAATAAATTTAATAGATCAATAGCAGTATCCAATAATTATAAATCAGAATTACTATTATTTCCAATTAGACTTGTAGTAATAATTTCTAGAAGGGAATCAAGATTATGTTTAAAAAATTGTTATCTAACTACTTTTTGTTTTGAATCAAGTATTTTGAATTCTCCAACTCTATCTTATGGTTATAATCTTCTTAATACTGTATCAATAATAATAAGATAAACTTATTTATTCATTACTTAAGCTTGTTCTTTAAAATATTAAACAGGTATTTAATCATAAAAATGTAATATGATATTGGCTATGATAGATGCAAAAAAATGATAGACTGGTCTAGAATGTGTTGTAAATCTTTTGATTCTATTCCATGCAAATTCAAATATCTTACCAAATTCTGGTGTATTTTGATGATTTTAATCAATATAAGTTGAAACCAAACTTCCAACAATTTGTAATGTTATTTCATTATCACTTTAATCTGCCAATTAACATAATAGAATGAGATTATCTTGGTTCATATTTTTGTGTAATTGATCTGGATCAATTTGATAAGTTTCATAGAGTTGTCTTTCAAAGTTCATGTTAATATTAATTCAATAATTAATTAATTCATGATTTTTTCTACATCTTCAAGGAAAACTATTTTAGGGTTTTTTAATAATTATTTATTAAATAATTATTATTAATAATTATTAATAATCTAAAATCATAATATGAGATTGTTTTTATCTAATGAAAGTCTTTTAGTTTTTAATATTTATTATAGATTTAAATTTGATAGATGATTCAATATGAGAGTATGTATAAATGAATATAAATTTTTGATATATAATAATAATAAGAAAAGATTTTAATTTATTTGATCATAAATTTTGATTATTAATATTAATAATCAAAATAGAAAATATTAATATTATAATTATAAAATTTGATTTGGAAATGTTAGGAGGAAATTTAGAAATACTAATAAATTTGAATTTTTTTAGAAATATAGATCTTTTTGAATAAGGATTTTATGCATTAAAAGTAGAGATGAGTTCTTAAAATGCAGAAGTTGTTTAGCCATACCTTGTATTATCATAATCAGGAGATAAAAATGAAGAATCAATTTAGGATTCATAATTTTGTTCGAAGGTGTTTGAAATACAATATTCTGAATAATATGTAGAATTAGATAATGCTTGTTTATTCAGAATATTGTATTAGGCTCATCCAAATAAAAATACAGCAATAAAAGTGAATGTTGGTTTGTTGTATAGTTAGATAGTGGAGAGTGAGAATGCAGTTTTATAGATGTAATAAGTGAGTAGTTTTGAATGTATAATAAATAATGCACATGAAGGGGTTTAATAAGGAGTGGATATAGTATTTGATAACAATCATTTATGTACATCAAAGATGTATATCTACACAATGATATTGGATTATAGATTTACTGGAGGAGTGAATGGATTTTAAGAGTTTCTAAAGAATAAGACTAATAATTGTAATTTAATTTAGTTAATGGTTTTTAGTTGATTAAGAGTAGGTGAATTTGTTTATTGGAGAATATGTTGATTCTCTTGGATCCATTTAAACAAAGTATCGTAATCTATTGATTTAAATTATTAATTAATTGAAGGATAAGAATATTTAGATGCAACATTTGATGAAGATTCCTATAGTATAGACAGCTAAATTTAAATCTAATTTATAGACAAAAAGTTTAGGTGAAGATTGTTTGTTGATTATTAATTAATTGGGATAATCCTTATTTTCATTATGGAATTAATTTTAATAGTTACTTAATCATTCTAGAAATTATTTAATGGAATCAATAGATAATAAAATATTATAAAATTGTAAAAAGTTATCAGGAGAGTAAGTGATATCTAATTAGATTACATTTGAAGAAATATAGATATAAATTTAATTACCATTATTGAAGTAGAGAGAAGAAATTTGGTATTAGGCAAGAAAAGATTAGAGGATGAAAATATAGAATGTNTATATAATAATAATAAGAAAAGATTTTAATTTATTTGATCATAAATTTTGATTATTAATATTAATAATCAAAATAGAAAATATTAATATTATAATTATAAAATTTGATTTGGAAATGTTAGGAGGAAATTTAGAAATACTAATAAATTTGAATTTTTTTAGAAATATAGATCTTTTTGAATAAGGATTTTATGCATTAAAAGTAGAGATGAGTTCTTAAAATGCAGAAGTTGTTTAGCCATACCTTGTATTATCATAATCAGGAGATAAAAATGAAGAATCAATTTAGGATTCATAATTTTGTTCGAAGGTGTTTGAAATACAATATTCTGAATAATATGTAGAATTAGATAATGCTTGTTTATTCAGAATATTGTATTAGGCTCATCCAAATAAAAATACAGCAATAAAAGTGAATGTTGGTTTGTTGTATAGTTAGATAGTGGAGAGTGAGAATGCAGTTTTATAGATGTAATAAGTGAGTAGTTTTGAATGTATAATAAATAATGCACATGAAGGGGTTTAATAAGGAGTGGATATAGTATTTGATAACAATCATTTATGTACATCAAAGATGTATATCTACACAATGATATTGGATTATAGATTTACTGGAGGAGTGAATGGATTTTAAGAGTTTCTAAAGAATAAGACTAATAATTGTAATTTAATTTAGTTAATGGTTTTTAGTTGATTAAGAGTAGGTGAATTTGTTTATTGGAGAATATGTTGATTCTCTTGGATCCATTTAAACAAAGTATCGTAATCTATTGATTTAAATTATTAATTAATTGAAGGATAAGAATATTTAGATGCAACATTTGATGAAGATTCCTATAGTATAGACAGCTAAATTTAAATCTAATTTATAGACAAAAAGTTTAGGTGAAGATTGTTTGTTGATTATTAATTAATTGGGATAATCCTTATTTTCATTATGGAATTAATTTTAATAGTTACTTAATCATTCTAGAAATTATTTAATGGAATCAATAGATAATAAAATATTATAAAATTGTAAAAAGTTATCAGGAGAGTAAGTGATATCTAATTAGATTACATTTGAAGAAATATAGATATAAATTTAATTACCATTATTGAAGTAGAGAGAAGAAATTTGGTATTAGGCAAGAAAAGATTAGAGGATGAAAATATAGAATGTTTAAATATTAGATTAATTTTATTATGAATCAATTAATTTACCTTTCTTTTTTGAGGATGTAGTATGTTCATTATAAGCAATTAATTAATTTTAATAATAATAGATAAATAGAAAACATGTGATTGTATTAGTACATGGATATTAAGGTACATCAGCTGATTTATAAATTTGGAAGAATTATTTAAAAATAAAATTTGCAAATCATTTAATAATTTAATCTGGAATAAATGAGGATGATACAGAAAATAATATTTCACTTATGGCTCATAAATTAGCTTAAGAAGTTATTAGTTAAATTTAAGAGAAAACTCATTTAAAATAATAAATTTAGCTTTCTTTTATAGGTCATTCATTAGGTGGAGTATTAATAAGATGTGCTTTATAACATTTAAATAAATATTAAGATTGTATGCATACATTTATTAGTTTGGGTTCACCTCATGTTGGATTAGGAATTCAATAATCATCTTTAATAGAAACTGGTTTATGGTTTATGAAAGCATTTAGAAAAGATGATTAAAAGATTTGTTTGAATTAAATGACATTATGTGATGATAAAGATATTTAAAAAACCTTTTTTTATAGATTATCATAGAATTCTAAATTAAGTTGGTTTAAGAATGTTATTATGGCTTTTTCATTATAAGATAGTTATGTTCCATTTTCATCAGCAACTTTAACTAAAATAAAAGAATCAGGGTAATATTTAATTATATATTGAATAGTGATCGAGAAATAGCTCATAATAAAATGGTAGATTCAGTATTATAGTAATTACCATAAATTTTAATTAAAACTTCAGTTTTCTTTCCAAATATGAAAACTAATCTAGATAAAATGATAGGTCGTGCTGCTCATATTGAGTTCATAGATAACAGCTACTTTATAAGACTGTTTATTGATTATTATTACGAATATTTGTTGTGATGATTAATACAATAAGTATTCAATTTCTCAATCATTATAATTCTCTTCAAAATCTATTAGGAAGGGAGACATTAAATTAATTCCTAATATAAATTCTTCGCTATAATTATTAAAATTAATTAATGAGTTAGTCTCCCATTGTCTTCACTAACAAACCCTCTAAACCACATCCTTTAGATGACAGTGTTTGGAAATGGGGGACCATTTTCCCTAAAATAACGAATAAAGATCTTAAACCTGAAATCAAAAGTGAACCACAATACTTCAAAAATTATTAGCTTGAAGATAGCTAAATAATCAATAATTATACAGTTAGATCTGTGGTATTGAATGAAGTAACCATTATAATTTTATAATTAGGAACCTGAATATATAGAAGTCGACTGGAATGCATTCCAACTTATCTCTTTTGATTGAATCCAGCTATTTAATGAGTAAATATATTACAAATATACATATATTTTTAAGTCTTATCTCTTTTCACTTTATTTTCATATATCTCAATCATTATTTTGTGGATTTTCCATCTATTTCTATTCTTAATACTTCATTAGATTTCATCATCGATGATTTATTACATTCATTATGTCATCCTTATATATAAATTTAACTCCTTTTATTTTCATTCACTCAATCTACATTATTCTTTTACAATATCATTTCTTTGCATATGCAATCAATTTCATAGACTAGTCACAATCTAATTCTTTGACTAATCTTAGAATTATTTAAATCTCTCAACATAAGTTTTTATTCAAATTAAAGACAACTAATGTTGAATTAAACAATCATATTTTTATATATCTATACACTACTCTTATCATATTTCTATTTATTTAGAACAATTATTTTTTAAACTTGTAATATTTTTTTTTATATTGATTTGATAGTTTATTTGCCAGTAACACATTAATAAAACTTATTTATATTAATATTTAGATGATTATTTTGAATGGAAAAATGGGTAATATACAAATCAAAAGTCAATTTAAATATTAATTTTAAGCATTATGAGAGCATTTACAATTAAATTAATGAAAAAACAAAAAATAATTTTGATGAAATATAATAATCCATAAATCTTAATCATTGAAATTATGATCTTTTATTATCTATTCTATTTTAAATAAGAATTCTTAGCAAACTTTAGTATCAAGAGTTTCTATGAAAATTTATTATCATATATAATACATATTGAAACAATTTAAGAAATAATATTGAAATGTTGTTAAAGATGTTAAATTAGAGAGACAATATGTAAATAAATTGTTTTTTTAATAACTTTAGATATTTGTAAAATTTATTATAATCCTTAATGAAAAAGATATAAAATAATAGAGTGATTTAATGTTATAAATACATAAATTGGAATATATTTAAGAATAATGTGATTTTTGAGAAATATGTGAAGTATAATTGTAAAAATATAAAAAAATACCAGGATATTTGTGAATAAATGTTTTAGATAGAATATGAAAGTATGTTAGAATTTAATGAATACAAAAATTGAGACTATACCTGTACTTTAGGAGAAATGCAAATATCATTAAAATGAATAAGCAAATTTAATTTGTCTAACAGTAGGATGTTTAAATTAAGGATTCTTCTGTTTTGAATGTAAAAATCATCATGAAGGTCATAATGTAATATAAGGGATAGAATTCTTTGATACATTAAAGTAATTAGTAAGTTTTGATGGATAATAAAAGTCATCTAATAATGTGAATTAGGTATCAGCAAGAATAGTAACAGCGATGTTAACAGCAATAGATGAATTGGAAGCATTAAATTAATACTTTTCAGAAATATTGGGTTCAATTAGATTATAATTTGAGAAATATTGTTAGATATCGAATGATGTGAATGTGATAAACAATTTTTTGATATTTTGTTAGAAGGAGACAACAGAGACATAATAATTTAAGGATAAATTTGAAGAATGTTTAAAGAGATTATGTTTAAAGTTACAAAAATTATAAATAAAATCAACAGTGACATGTTAATCGAATTCTTTATTTGTCCCAGATGAGAGATTATTTTAGGAATATTTAGAACCATTAATATCTACATTGAAAGGTATAAGATTATAAGCAGAATCTAGTTTTACAAAACCACTTTATTATAATAAATTAGATTTAAGTTTTAAAAATGGATTAGTACCATAAATTAATTAATTTTTTGAACCTGTAGTATTTGAAACAGATTAACCAAAAGAAGAAGATAAAGTATTAGAAAAATTATGGATGGATAAGAATGAAACAATGAGAAAGATGTTATTAATGAAATAGCGTACAAAAGAAGAATAGGTAATAGAAGATGAACCATATTCATATGGTAATGGAAGATTAGAAAAAGTATTTGCTGTTGCTGGATCTAAAGTTTGGTTTCTAGATTTTATTTATAGTAAATTTAAACCAACATCTAAACATTCTAAAATTGAACCTAAATAAGCATGTGTTATTTGTAAATGTCATTAAAAGTTTGCTAGAATTAATGAATTTTTAAATTGTAAATATGGAGATTTATATGGACCATATCATTTAGAAGCTAGATTACTTGATAGTTTTAAAATGGCATTTGATAAAAGAACTAATAAAGATTATTTAATTGATAGAGGTGGTCTCTATTTTCATGATCTTTGTGTTTATTGGTCATCTTTAGTAGAGTGTGATGAAAAAAAAGGAACTATTGATTTTGAATCTTTATAAGAAGCAGTCAAAATATCATAAGAAACTTATTGTTATCTTTGTAAAAGAAAAGGACCAACTCTTAAATGCAATAATGAAAATTGTTAAATTTGGATTCATTATTATTGTTGGAAAGAATTAGAACCATCTTAATAATATTTAGATAATCAAAAATTTAGAATGCTATGTTATTAACATGTACCAGCTAAATATCGAAAACCAGCATGGGCTTCTTAAAATTTACTTTTAGATGATCAACAATTAGAAAAAAGAGAAACTAAAGAATTTAGATAAAGTCAATTTGTTAAATTGATAAATCAAGAATCAGCATAATCAAGGTATATCTAAAAACTAGAACTTTAGGCAACCAAATAACAATCTGATGAATGATTTATTTATTATTTTATTATTAATAATATTCACACTCTATTTTCATCTCTTTTTTTTATTAATTATCTATTTAATCTTTTTCACAAAAACTTTACATTAATTCTTAATTTTTCATTTTATAATCATTATATAAAAATTTCTCAATAAACTAATTAGAACTGTTTTATTTATTTTAATAAACTATAATCTTTTATTTAAAGAAGTTATAATTATCATTTATATTCCTTTAAAGTTTATTTTATCTCATATATTGTTAGTTATAGTTCTTAAAATAGCTCTAGTTAGCTCAAAAAAGTTTAAATAACTTGAACTTATTTTAGATGAAAGAAATTTTTAGGTATTTTTAATTTATAATTTATAGAAAAAATATAACATCTTATTTAAATTATTTAATTAAGCCTTTGGATGTATTATTTTTTTAAATTCTATAGAGTTGATGAAATTTAAATTCTCCTGAAGCACTTTGATTTTTAAATATAAAATATTATTTTTTAAATAAAAGAAAACTCACAAATTGTATATTAACTATAATTAGTGTTGATAATGAAGTCATATTTTTATATATATCAAGAACTCTTGGCTTACATTTCAAAAGACATTCTATTTAGTAGCAAACTAGAATACCCATCAGATGCAACTGCTTGACTACTGATAATTTATAAGAAGTCTCCTGGGACAGAGATTTAAAAAAGACTCAGTAATTTTTAGTATGCAACAGTAATAAATAATCCACCTAGAATAGATACTGGAACAACCTAAATTCTAGAGTATATTACTTAGCCAAATGCTTATGCATAAACAGCATTAAATTTAATAAAGTAGAATGGAATCAAAAGGGCAAGTAAGATAATTAAGACTAGAATTCTTAGTGTCTTTTTCCAAAAAGATAGTTTTTAATAATTAATTCTGAATTGATTATCTAAATAAATTCCTTTGCTTAGTTTAATTCCAAAAACAAAGCTTAACATAAACCATATGTATAAAGACATACTGAAACATATATTTTATAAAACTGAAGGACTTTGAATTGTGTATAGAGTAGTTTGATTTTCACATTTTTAATAAACAGCTGTCATCCATTATGTTGCTACAGCAGGAGTTATAAATACATTTCTATTTAATTCTAGAAATAGAATGGCTACACAAGTCCAACTGAATACTATCAAACCAGCCACATTAATTACTCTAATAGAAATTCCTTATTATCCTACTTATAAACATTGTTTGAAATAATTTAGAATACGATGATGGAAATATATCATGTAAATAATTGAAATGTATGCTTAATATGCCCAACCTAAAATAATCTAACCAAATGAATGAACTCCCATGAATACCCTAGAAAATCCAGTCATGAATGTCCAAAAAGTAATTAAAAATATAACTAAAAACCTGATGTATAATGGATACTTGTAGCTATAGCTATTAATTATAATACTTTGGTTAATCTTTCCAGATAGCAGGAAATAATATGGATGGTAATAAAAAACACATTGCCTAAGATGTCATAGCATGACCTGAAGGTTTTCCAAATTCTTTGTTACATTCATAAGGTTCAATATCTTCAACAATAAAGAATGGTCTTGCCTAATGATAGATGTTTTTTAATAAGCAATTAGATGCTACTGAAAATAGTATCATTCCACCATATAATAATGCACCAAGTTTATTATTCAAGATTAGAAAAGCAATTCCTGCTATACTTGGAAGTACATAGAGAGAATAGGAGAAGACTAGGAACATGTCTTTTTCTCCATTGAATTAATTTGATTGCAAATAGATTGTTAAAGTAGTGTTTGCATCCCACATTTGCTAATCGAATATAAGATCAATTGCAATGTATATGATCAAAGCTAATGTAGCAATAATAAATATTTTCATAAATTATTAATATTTGAATTCAGGATGTATTGATGTGAAAAGAACAATTAATTTAAGATATATAAATATAATTAAAGAAGAGAAGATAGAAATTGTAAATAAGATTATACATTAGCAATTAGTAATATCTTAAGTGTTAATATATATTTATTAATCATAAATTAATGAGAAAGTTGAATCATATATCAATATATGCTTTCACAGTTCGAGCAATTCATAGTCAAATAGCAATCATAGGAGGAGGTACAGCAGGATTGAATGTTTCTGCATAATTGGTTCGAGATGGCCATTTTATCCCATAACAGATTCGTATATTTGAACCATATAAGATGCATGCCTATTAAACAGGATGGACTATGGTTGGTAGATTAATTATTATTAAATCAAGGTGGTGGTATGTGTAAAGTATAATAAACAATGAAACCCATGGAAAAGGTTCTACCAAAAAATGTATGTCTAAGTGATTGTCCAGTTGTGAGAATTGATCCAGAATAAAATACAATAATAACAATGGATGGATAGAAATACACATATGATTAATTAGTTGTGGCAAGTGGTGTGCAACGAGATTATGCATCCATTAAAGGTATAAATTTATATATATCTTAGGTGCCTTATAATATCTTGAAAATCCTGAAGCACCTGTAGGAAGCATCTATTATTATAGATATGCTCAGAAGATTGATAAAATGATTAAAGAGTTTGAAGGGGGTAAATTAATATTTTCAGAACCACTTACTAAATGTGAGGGAATACCATCAAATATGGTATTCTTAACTCATGAAAGATTATCAGCTAGAGGTGTTAAATGTGATTTCCATGTTTATAAAGCCAATGATACTATTTTTGGTATCCCAAAATACTCAGAAATACTTGGAGAATTAGCACATGAGAAAGGATTACATTGTCATTTAAAAAAACGATTAATTGAAGTTCAAGATCATAAAGTCATCTTTGAAGATGTTGAAACTAAACAACTATTTACATCTGATTATGATTTTCTACATATAGTGCCACCTTAAGTAAATATAAATTTATATTTTTATTTAGAAACCAGCAGCATTTATTGCTGATAGTGGATTAGGTGATTCAGATGGTTATGTTAATATACATCCAAATACTCTTTAACATGTACGATATTCTAATGTCTGGGCTTTAGGAGATTGCTCTTCTCTTCCTACATCCAAAACTGCTGCAGCTGTAATGGCTTAAACTCCTGTGTTAATCAAAAATCTTATTAGAACATGGAGATTAAAATAATCACCTCTACCAGAATATCAAGGTATGAAATTCATCATTACGTTATCAAGGCTATACCTCTTGTCCTATTTACACTTCCAATAAGAAGGTTTTACTTGCAGAATTCAAGTACAACAAATAATTAGATGAAACTTTCCCTGTGTTCCAATCTTCTGACAGCAAAGCCATGTATTTGTTGAAGAAGCATTTCTTTCCATTTGCATATTGGCAATTGATGGTTAGAGGTCTTTGGGGAGGTAGAGATGGAATAAGATTGTTCAAAGGAATTTGAAAAAGATGTTAATTTCATTTAAATATAATAATTATGTTAAAATATAGATGTCTTATTGGATCTGAAATAGTTTGGATATAAATGCGTAATACAGTTTTAAAATAAATATTTAATTTATGAAATAATAAAACTTTATTAAACCTTTCCCTGCTTTTAATACCTTTATAAATGTCTTGATGGCATCAGGACCTATATTATTACCAATGATATCTGCAAAAGTTGGTTATGGTTATGCTTCAATATCCCTTACAATCTGTTGTCTGATCAGTATCATCGCATGTGATTTCATAATAGAGGTAGCTGAGTAATCTGTATTAAGGATAGGCACTATATCTAGCAGATCAAATTGACAAAGATACTGATACTATGAGTAGATTGAATATATAGGCAACTCATACCGTTTCTGATTCGACAGAAGAAATAGAATCAGCTAAACCACTTGAATCAAAATATTCATTGTAGAGCTAATTTGAATATGGATCAATGGCTAAATTATTTTATGGCAAATGGGCTGAATATTGTACAGTCTCCATTATCGTAATATATTTATATGGAGCAGTAATAGCTAAAGGAGTCATGGTTGGAAATTCTTTATCGTAATCATTTATATTATTCTTATTAGTTCAGTTTTTAATGACATCACACTCCTTAAAGAATATTGGTTTTGGATTGTCATATTTTTTGCAGTCTGTGGAATTCTGTCATTCAAAGATGTAGCAAGCATATAAATAGTCTAAACAATAGTAGCTTTAGCTCGTTATTTGACTATTTTATCAATGTTAATAGGATCAATATAAGAAATGGCAAATAAATAAGAAATATAAAAAATGTAATGGTTCAATATTGATGCATTACCATAAATGATTTCAACTGCAATATTTGCATTTTTAATGCATCATTCATCACCTGGAATGTTAAGACCAGTAAGACCCTCTTCAGCTATTAGAAAGATTATCTTTATTAGTTTTACATTTGGATTACTCACCTTTTTATTTGTATGTTTAACAGCAAGTTGGGCATTTACTTTAGAAAATCTTTCAAATGTCAGTTTTTACAGTTAATGTTTTAGTGAAGGTAATTTAAGATGGGCTTACTATATTATAAGCTTTTATATGTTCTTAAATATAGCTGCTTTACCAGTCTTAACAATTACCATACGTAAAAATTTGATGAAATTGGTTGTTCCACATTTACTTCCAAAAGATAATTTAAAAATTACTTTACCTACTGCTCTATTCACTTTACTTATTGTTGTACCATGTGCTGCATTAGCCATTTGTAATACACTTTTATTTATCCTAAGTGCTTAAAGATGACATTGAAATTATTGTTGGTCTTACAGGAGGTGTATGTGGAGTTTTCATATTGTTAACCATTCCAGCTGCCTTAGTATTACAGGGTCGCAAAAAACATAATGTTAAATATTCAGATAATCCATATATTTCAAAATTCTAACATCCTTCTTGGATTTGGGCATTGATTGTACTTGGTTGTGTATTTGTACCATACAATCTCTATATGCAAATTAAAAAGATCATTGACCATTATGGTTGATTATGTTATTATTTGTTCCAATAAAATAAATATAATAATTGTATTTTACATTAAATTATAATACTCAATATTTTAAAGCTTAATTCAATTGATTCTAAGTCTCTTTAAATAGTGATTCGAAGTTTACTTATTCCAATATTATGAGCATTGTTATACCTCTTATATTATGAGCTAAGAATCCTCCATAACCCCAACTAAAATTCCATTCTTTCATATTAAACTTTAATTTCTCCCATAAATTTTATTTTTTTGATGCTTCCTGTTAAAATAATATCGATTTCACTTATAAACGACGTCTTACACTATCAATTGGATATATTAATGCATATGATCCTAAATAAGCTAATTATTAATTATATGGTGTCATTCCTTCCAAAAGTTAATTCAAACCTACTATCCCATAAGCAAACAATAATGTTTATATACATCCAATTGTAAAACCTGAATACAAACCCTTAAAAAAACCATTCTCTAATTTTATATTAAATCTAGTCTCTTCAAAACCTATATACATTCTCTTCTATCCAGGAATTTATATCTCAGTTGCTTATCTCACTCTTATTGTATCAAGTGGATAAGAAAATATAGATGTGGTAATCCCACAAAGTGTTGCACATAATCCCATTGATAAAATCTTTAAAATTCAATTTATTTATATACATCTTTGTCATATGTGACTTATTTGATATTTTGATAAAAAACATGTTATGCATATACTTATGGTATCCACATATAAATTGCAGTTAAATTTGATCTAAATAATCCTTTCACTCCCTCATTTGAAATTGTTTTCTTAACAAATTAATAAAAATTAGTCATCTTCTCTTTAGAACTCAAAGTAAGAATATCCTATGTCTGTCTGATTAATTTATATCTCTCTAATGGAGCTAAAACTGTTTTTACTAATGATGTGCTCACGAACCCTTGTACATATTCCTCCATAATTAAAACAATATTAATAATTAATTATTTCTCAACACTTTTACCAATTCATTCAAAACTAAATGCTTATTTTTATCTCAAAAAAAATAACTTAAACTATCATAAATTTCTACTATCATTTATGTATTTAATCACTCCAAATATCTATTTATATGTTTCAATATTCAAAACTCCTTATTAGTAATACATTATAAATTAATAGTCAAATATATATTAATAATGCTCAAAAATAATTAACATAAAAAGTTACCTTTATAGAGATATTTGAGTAGATTTCGTATTTGCACTCTAATCCTTTTCCTGAATATCTTAATAATTGCTTTAATTATCCCAATAATTCTAGGAGTTTATGAAATCAATACTATGCTTGTCTACCAATACTTCGAATAATCTGCTATACTAGCATTCATTAATCAGAATAACAGAAGTTTGAATTCAATAATGAGTTCTTAAGTCTCTTAATTATGGCATATGATGAATCGAAGTAAATTTATGTTATTTAGCATTAAGCTGAAAAAACTCTAAATAGTTTACAAAAAATGTATCTTCTTGATCAACATTATAATTTAACAATAAACAATAATCCAGAGATGTGTCATACTTAATTTGAAGAAAATGATTAATTCGAATATAGATATAATGGATATTGTGTTAATATTTATGATACTGAATTTGTAGAATTTTAAAAACTTCCAGAGTATGATTATTTTAAGAGAGATTATAAATTTGTCTCACTTTTAAATGAAAATATTATGTAAATGGATCCTACTCAATTATTTTTACCTGATAATATTTATTTTAGTAAGATTGAAAGAGAATTCACAGCTTGGTGGCCTTAATGGAATAGAATACTTGGTTATCATCCTCCTGAAAGAACTTGGTATATTCAACATTTATAGAATTATAAAAATAACCCAAATAAAAATTGTTTCAAATCAGACATGTACCAATTTTTTGCTGATTATCCTGTGATGGCAATGACTACGACTTGCAATTTGAAAGATGAAAATAATAATTTAATTGCCATTTTGGCTTCTGATCAACAATTACTTGATAAATATTACAAGCATCCTAGGTTAAATGTAATGATTGTTAATTTTGATGGATTGTTAGTAATCAGTACAATGTAGAGTCAATTGATAGCTAATTCAACTGAATTGGGATATTTTTATGAATAAAATGTAACAGGTTTCAATAAGGAAGATTGGGATTAGATTGTTCATTATGTTTAAGAACGCTCTTTTCTCTCGAATTGCCAATACTTTCCTAATATAAGTGATTTAATGTGTCGTTACAATTCATTGTTAGAATAAGATGTTATTTTTCAAGTATAGAATTTAACAAATCCTAATTTTGTGTATATTTTGTAAAATTATATCATTAATGTGAATAGGTTTTATAATTTAACTGATGAGATTTAAGATTTGGTTGACCAATAAGATATTATTTAAGAAATTATTAATGAGTCCTACTTTAATATTGTAGTACTGTTATTGATATCGTTGACAATCATAATCATTCAATTAATTTTTGTTTAGATTATTTTCCTTCCTCTTAAAAATTTAATTAAACACTCTCGAGCTTATCTTAAATCTAACTCTCATAGACTCCTCTTTAGATAAAAAGAGTTCTACTTATATAACTTTTACATTGATGGATATACAAGCAGTATTTATAATATCAATTATACTATAGATAATATTTTGTTAGGCTTAAAACTAGCATATAAATAGATATATCATAGAATCTGTAAATAAAACTTCAAAAAATGCAATTAATGTTAAATTATACAGAAATTTTAGTATCCTTCAAATTTAGAAAAATCAAAATTACTTTTAAATAAATAATTGGATTTTGAATGCCCTTCAAAGATGACTGCCTATCAAATTTGGAGATAAGTAGTTTAGCCCTGTCTTATAAAGACATCAGATTCCTGAAAATAAGTTTTCTTTAAAATTTACTATAAGATAAAATATAAAAATTTATTATATATAAGAAATAATCTACAAGTCAGTAAATTCTCGAGAAATAGCTTCAGAAAAGTAGATAAAAGATTAACTTAATTAATTCATTTAATATTTTTTTGAATCTGCTTTATTGATTTGTATAGATTTGTATAAATCTCTAAGTTCTCTTAATGTAACTAATCTATATTTTCTACAATATTCTAGATATTTTCATTTGGATTAGAATGTCTTAAATTACTTGAGATAGTAGGTTATGCGACTCTTTATACAATTTTCTTGTCTTTCTCCGACAGTTGAAATTTTAATGAAAATGTATCTGTTTCTTAAAATTATAATTTGAGAGATTCCATAAATATTCTATCTCTCATTTTCTTTTCTTCTATTCGATTAAGTATTTTACGATCAGCTTCATTTAATTCTTTTCCTAATTTACGAACAATTAAATTATCTCTTGTCATTTATATAGCATCCATTAAACGGTTAACATTTCTATCGCTCCATAAATCTACTACTCCCATAGATCCATCATTTGCAGCATCACCAAAAACATCTCTTACTTTTTTTATTAAAGGTTGTAAATAATAATTATTCTTTTTTTCATGTGTTCTAAAACCGAATTTAAGAAATGTCAATCTCTTATTTTTTGATTATTTATTTGCCACTCCAAATGTTTAATCACGTTTCACTTAGATTTCTGTTTTTGGAACTTCACGTATTTATTTATATGTTAAGAGTCCTCTTAAATGTCCCAAAGCAAAACTTGACTTTACATTTTCTTTAAGAATGTCGATATTTGGCAATAGAGAAGGCTCACTTTTCTATTTAGGTTTGTGCTGTTGCGAACGCGATAATTATTACATTATAAATATTTTTAGATATGAATTTAAGCATCTCTATATTGTTAGGCTAATTAATGATTAGGAACATTATTAATATCATATAGGAGGGGGCATAAGAATATAAAAATGCAACTTAAATGACATTAAATTCATGTGCCGCTATTTTTATTTTGATAAGCTATTTCATGAAATACCATTTTACAAAACAAAGACTTTTGCTAAACATATTGATTCAAATAATTGTAATAGTACATTTTGAAATTTCATTCAATGACGCTAATCAATTTTAATCTTTTAGCATAATTGTCTACCTTATTTCAATCTAGTAATATCTCTATAAATAAAAGAATTGCTTTCATTATTTAAGTCATAGTGTCTTGATTTATGCTGTTATCAGATCTTTACTAATTAAATATAATGATCTTGTTACTTAAGAGTTCATTCTTGTTTTATTATGGCAGCCTTTAAATCATTACTTATTATATTTGATTATAAGAAAGAAATACCATAAGAAGGAAGAGTTAAACTCATAAATTCAATTTCATACAATCTCTACACCTTAAGCATAACATACTGAAAGAGCTGAAGAAGTTCCTCCGAAAGTCAATCTTGCTGAAGATTTTTTTGATTGTATTCCTGAAGGTTTGGTTATTTTGGATGAATTTCAAAAAATTATAAGACACAATTCAAAAATCTTACATTATTTGAATATATCAGATTCAGTATAAATACCATCAGCTTTAGATGCCTTATTCAAGATGTAAAACAATAATTTAAATTTAGTGCTCAAAAAAATAAAAGTCCCTAAAAAGAGAAAAAAAAGCCAGTTTACTTAAAACAGATGAAATAAAGAACAGACGTTTAGTCATTTTATGCCAGTTCCATGGGTACTTCTTTTAAAAAACAACTTTGGATGTCTGATAAATAGCAATTAAATTTAAACCTTTAAAAAGGAGATTCTATTACATATCCTTTCCTTTAATCTGTTCTTAATGATTTTAAATTATAGAATTTGAATGAAAATATGACAATAACTTCAGAATGTAATAGTATTGTTAAATATTAAATATTACAAGAGAATTAATAGAAATAAAGGCATCTTTAGATTAAAATTTATGATATTAAAATTACATCATATTCAAGTACTCCGGTTTTTTTATTTATTGTAGAAAATATTACAAATAAAGAATAACTTAAATAGTTAACAAATAGGTTTAAATTTTAATAATCATTATTAAACTCTTTTAGTCATGAATTAAGAACTCCTTTAAATTGTACTTTGTCTTTATTATAAGCACTTAAAAGCAAGTTAAAAAATGATGATCTTAACAATGAGTATTTAAATCCATCTATTGTTTCAAATTAAAGATTACTTTATCAAATTAATGATATTTTGGATTATGCATAAATAGAATGTTAAGATTTTCGTATTAATGTAACTGAATTTCGAGTTGGTGAAGTATTTCAAATATTAAAAGATTTTTTTGAGTAAGAATGTAAATAAAAATAAATAGAGTTGATAATAGAGAATGATTGTTTATTATCTATAAAAAGTGATAAAGATAGAATTACTTAGGTTTTAATAAATTTAATAAATAATTCAATAAAATTTACACCTTAAGGAGGAAGGATAATAATAAATATAAAAAAGAGAGATAATATGTATTAATTCACAGTTTGGGATAATGGTAAGGGAATTTCAAACTTGACTTTATCTAATATTTTCGAATCATAAAATAATATAAATGCTAGTACTAAATTAACAGAAACTATATCTAGTTCAAATAAATTGGGTTTAGGATTAAAAGTAAGTAGAGCTATAGTAAGCAATTTATGTTAAAATGGAGATTTAGTTATAAAGAGTTAAAAAGGTAGCTACACATCAATTAATTTCTTTGTTGAAGATTAAATAATTAAAGTAAATGAAGATATAACAGAATAAGAATCAATAATGAGATTTGGTAGTAAGAATACAGTCTAAAAATGTGTATGTCCATAAGTTCTTATAGTTGATGATGTACCTTTCAATCATATTGCAATGATTGCAATTTTGAGTAATTTTGGAATAAAATCTGAAAGTGCTTATGATGGAACCTAAGCATTAGAGAAGGTGAATATAAGATTAAATAATAAAGAATGTTGTAAATCATATCGTATAATATTTATGGATATTGAAATGCCAGGCAAAAATGGATTTTAAACATCAGCAGAAGTAACTATAATGTGATTCATAGATAGTCGAAATATTGAAATAATCAAATTTTTAATCAGTAATAGTAATGTGTTCAGCATATACAGGAGAGGCAAATGTTGAATAAGCTCGATAATGTGGAATGAAAGAAATAATCCCTAAGCCAATTGCTTTAAATAACATGTAAATATTAATATCAAAATATTTTTAATCATTATCTTGAAATTTAATTTTTATTTTTTTAATTTTAGTAATAAATTTATATATCAAATATCTTAATTTTCTTCTTAATCTGCCTAACTAGTACTTTCTTGATTCTTAGCTATATCGTTCGTTTCTTTTTAACTAGATCTTTCATTAATTTCACTGTCTTTATTATTGTCATTTTATTCTATTTAACTATTATTTTCAGAAACAACAAATTATTTTAGATTTTCATTTGATTATCTCTATTCATTATTTTATTCATCTTAATTATTTTATTCAACTTTAACAATCTAATTTTTTTATATTTTTTAATCTGAAACTGGTTACTATTCTTCTGTTGGTAATTCTATATCTTCTTATATTGTATCTTATTTCTTTGCTCTACTATGTATCATAAATCTTCTTTCTCTCTAACTAATAAATCCTTAAGAAGTCCTTGATTATTAATCAGTACTATTTGATCGAGAATTTCTTTAACTTCTTTATTATCTCTACTGAATAATTCTTTATTTTTCATTTAAGGCTTATTATTCGAGATGCTTTGCACTTTTTAGATCTATTTTCAATTATAAGGGAGGCATTAATTTTCTTGCTGGATCAAACAATTTATGTAACATATAATAAGACATTGTTTTCTTTTCTATTATTTATACCTAAATTAATATTGAATTCTACTTCTCTGAAAAACTCAAATATTTCTATATTGGAAGCTCTTGAATTTGTGTCTAAAAGTGCTGAAAGAGAGTTTATCAATTATCTTTGAAATTGTCTCAACTCACTATAAAGATTACAAGCTAATTTTTTTAGAAGAAAATCATGAGGAAAATTAGATAAAGCAGTTTTTAATTATGGAACTAATGATAAACCTTGATTTACTAAATTTTCTAATTTAAAACACTCAACAACCAAACTAATAATAATTAATCACTATTACTTAGATTAAAGCATCTATTTTCTAGGATTATTGTTTCTATATCCTTTTATTTCTTAAATATTTAATGCTAACTTCTATAGATATTAAAGAAAAGGAATCTAAATATTATCCAATAACCAGACTTCGTTTGTTATCTATTTGAATACAAAGGTTTCGGGTTTTGATGTTGGTCTACTTTACTATCTACATTACTTATTGAAATATGCAAAATTAATCTTTGAAAATTCTTATGCAAATTCATCACTAATATTTAATACTGAATGAATTGTTATTAACAATTTCATCTTAACTGTATATGGTTGCAAATTCTCCTCCTAATAAACCTTAAAAAAATCTCCAATATTTTATTCATCAGTTAGAAATGGAATCAGAATTTCTAAGTCCTCCTACTTATATATGAAATTATCTTTAGCCAAACTAGATTTTGTTAAAAAGCTTTAGAACTCAGATTAACTCTAAAATAGTTTCTTGAATTTCTTTATCATAATATTTATTTATACAATTACCAAAATAATCAATTATGTTTTACTTCTCATATATTTTATTTATATAAAAACTTTCACATAATCAGTTCTCTTGATAATAAATCAGAGAACAATCAGAATATTTTAAATATTTTATTTATCAATCTGATTCATCTTTTATTTGATGTGCTTAGAATTTTCTTTCTTCTTATATCAACCCAGGGTGTATAATCTAAAGCAATTTATAATACTCATTTGTTTCATCTAAAAAGTCATTATACTCCTATTTAGTCATTTTACTACGAGGGCATTTACTTTTCTACTTCTTAATCTTCTTTCTTGCCATTTAATATTAATTTATATATATCAATCAATTTTAATATCAATAAAGGTTACATATTAAAATCTCCATTTTATGACATTTATTGCTAAGCTAATTTTAGGTTTAAAGAATTTTAGTTTTTTAACTTCTCTATAAATACTCAAAATCTCTTATAAAACTCAAAAGTTTTATGCTCATATTCTTCTTTAAACATAAAGATTTTTTGACAATTCTTTCTTCAATAAAAGACTAATCCATTATTATAAGGGTTAAATTAACTGATTATCATATGATTTTTTATTTTGTAATAATCATTTGCTTGATGAATCTCAAGTATATTTTGATAAATTTTAAATTATTAGAACTCTTTGATACATTTAGTTAAAATAAATTAAACCTTTACTAATTTATATTTTGGTAGTTCCTCTTTAAAATCTTAAATATAATTTGATTATTAAGTTTGTTAAATGGTTTAGCTAATGTCATTAGAATATTTAGATTAAAAAATGAATTAAACACACCCTCTATAACCAAGCATTTAGAGCTCATCTAAAATCTAATCTTATAATAACTTTCCACATCATCATCATCAAGTTTTTTTTATCTCATGCTTTTCTGCCTCATTAATAGTAGGCTTCTAATTTTATTCACATTTTAATTTCATAGTCTTAATTTAATATTTCTTGATTGTACCATCTAAAGGAACGCTAGAAAATAGTTTTCTTCATTCGGATAGGACCCATATAAAAGTAGCTTTTTTAGCGAATTTGGAACTATTTTTAGTTTTATCAAAGTGCATTTAATAGATTTATTCTAACAATACTCTTAAATATAATGGAGTATTGCGGTCTACTAAAATAATAAATAATTTGCAAATTTTATTCTGATGAGAAGATTGTAAATATTTCAATATTGCATGTCAGCTATTTAACTTATTTGATGGATGGCATTCTGACTAATCGTTATTTATAATGGATTCAATACTTTTATTTGCCATCTAAAAAGGATACTGTATTAGGGATGTTACCATCAAGATCTTTTTTTATTAATATCTTAATTTATAATAATTTAGTAAAAAACATATAAAGCTCCTTTGTTATAATTAAACCGATAATTATTAAAATAAATTTCTTTTTTTATAATCAGTATCTGAAAAGTATTATTCGTTAAGACTTAAAAATTTACAAAATATAGGAATTTAATTAATTTTCCCTGAATGCTTTAATCAAATTTTACTGAATTGAGGAAAATTTAATTTCATAAGCAAAGTTAACTTACAAGATTTGAAATATTGATAGTTTTTAGATATTAGATTCATTAAGATTAAGATGCGTAACACTTCAAAAGGGTATAAATATGACTGATCAAAATTACTTATATATGTTTTTAAATGACGAGTACAGTTGATATTTATTTTTGGAATTAGCATTTTATCTTCTAAGGAGTGTTAATTTGAAAAGATTAGTTTACTCCCACTAATTTTCATAAAATTTTATTCATTTTATTTATATATCACTTTAATAACTTTCTGAATCTTGAAAAACTTTCCTCATTTTATAGTTAAGCTATGTATTTATAATTAAGAAAATTTTTATTAATCTATTATAATTTAATACATCATTAGATAATTCAAAATTAAGTCAATTATTATAAACAATATAAACCTCATTAAGAGGAACGTTTTATTTTATAAAGTAATAATGAAAGAATGTATTATTTAATGATTAAAAAATTTGTTATTATTATAAAATAAAGTTTTTATCTGAAACTTAAAAATGATTAAATATATGATGGCTTTATTTAATTTTTAAAGGTGTTGATAGTGAGATTGATTAATTTAAGATATGAAAATATCTTCACAACTTTTAATGTGACTTTGTTTTAAGAAAATGCTGATACAAACTAGTCTTAAAATGATTATAACAAAATAATAAAGGTTAAATCTCGAAAACCTCTTAATTGCCTAGTTGAATTGATTTAATAGGTATCCCTAAAACATTATAAAGACTTAAAATCAAATAAGTAAATTTATATATGATTGAATATTGAGATGAAAATATAAGACTACTTGTGTTTTGAATAAGTGTTTGAAAAAAAATATACAAAAATGTATCAGAAGAGTGAATCAATTACTCTTGAACTTATTTTCTTAAGTTTGATCATTTTTTCATGTTTGGGATATACAATCGGTAAAGGATCATTATTTAATTATGAAAAATCTATTAATGGAAGGAAAGATGAATGATTTTGAGGTTGTGTGTTCTTTTTACTATATAACATCATGAGACGTTGTTTATTTTATATTTAAAATCTTTTGTTTGTAAGTTTTTTAAATTCTTTGTTTTCTTTTTATTTTATTACGTCAAGTTCTAAGAACTGCATACTCATCGTTGGAGGATCAAGAGTCGATAACCTTCGTTTAACATCGCCAATTTGAGTAGGTTGAGAGCTTTCAGTGTTAAGAGTTCTATGTCTAAATTATACTGTCTTTCTTTGTTCATTTAATCGAGCAATGATTTCCTTTATGTTAGATTGCATAAAATTATTAATTACACATATGATAATAAATAATACATAAAATAATTAATCTTGTTATCTCAAATATATACTCAATTCTATTATTATTAATAGATGTATGCTTAGATAATTCAAAAATAAAAATAGGTATAGTATATTAAGGAAAAATATAGATCATTGAACATAATTTAGCCGCAATGAATTAATTTTTTAGCAAATCTAGAGGAATTATCGTTTGGTAAGATTAGTAGGTTTTTCTTCAACCACTAATTTCAGTTTGAATTGATTCAAATAGAATATTGAAGTTTCATAATTTGAGACTATGTACATACATATTTCTAAATAAACAACCAAATAGGTTAAAAGAAGTATTGCACCTTCTTCTACTCCATCTAATTAATCTTATTCTCTGACATTAATTAATTTTAGATTCAATTAATTTTATAACAAAGAAATTGAATTTCTTAATAAAGGAAGCATTAGAATATAATGACTTTAAACTTCTAATTCACTTTAGTCAAATGCTGCTGCAAACTTTTTATCATTGAGTATTTAATTTAATAATGCTTCATCTTTATAAATGCTGTTCCACTAAATAAAATATTATAAACATTTACTAATTTGTTAAAAGAAGTTCTAAATGTTTCATACATATTAATGCTTTGATTAGTTAATTCATTTTTCTTAGTTTAATCAATAGTAGAATGATTTTTATTTAAAATTTCCATAAGTTTCTTAGATTTAAAAATAGCATGTTTGATTGTAAAATACAATAGTTTTTCTTTCAATCCTCCCTCAATAAAAAAATCAAAATGATCTACTATTTTAGCAATTCTCAATATCAATTTAAGTAAGTTTAAGATATTTTAAACAGCATCTCCATAATTTAAAAATTCTTATACTTTTTCCTTTAGATTTTTACTACTTTAAAGTCCTTAGACAGAAAGATGTGGGCGTTATTAAGAATAACTAGTTTTAGCTCTATTTTCTAAATTTTAGAATTGTGTATTATTTATTTAAAATTAAGCTGATTTTCTAGATGGTCTAATTTAAAAACATCTAAATAAATCATGTTCCAACAATTCATTACAATTACACCTTTTACTTTCATCTAATTATAAACATTTTAAAATGAGATCTTTTGCAGTTGCTGAAATCTTTATATTTTTGGAGAATTATATAGGAGTAGTTGTAATTACTTTTACAAATTCTTACTCTGTACCTGCTTACCAAGGTACCTTTCCTAAAATTATCAAATATAAATATTACCATTTAGTATTTAATAAAACATTACTCCTAAACTCCAAACATCACTCTTCTCTGAATATTTATTCTCAGTCAAAGCTTAAGGTGGCATATAAAGAGTAGTTCCTACATTATAATACACTTTTTCTTTTTGAGATTTTATCATATTTGAGAATCCATAATCTGCTATCTTGAAAATCCCTTTATTTATTAAAATATTTTATGGTTTTAAATCTCTATGTATTATTCCTTTTTAGATTTGCTCTTTAAATCCTGTCAAAATCTAAAAAAAGATTAAGACTGCTTCGTTTTCAGGAATAAAACCTTTTTTTATTATTAGATCCGCTAAATCACCTTTAACCATTAAAATAACTATTACCTTAATTGCAATATTCTGTTATAATATAAGTGCAATTGCTATTTTAACAATAAAAATGCATTTTAATAATGTTGATTGAATCTAATATTTGTAAGGCTATTATTTCCTACTATAATAATTGTCTTTCTATCTCATGCATATTCTAGTGATCCCGAACCTTATTTTATTCATAATATTATACTTTTATTGCAACGATCTCTCCATTCATATCATTTCTTCCTTTGAACACTTGGCTTTTGTATCCTTAACCAAGCAAATCATCTGGATTATAACTGTAAACACTAACTTTTATTCTTTATTCATTGTTCATATTTTTATAATTTATTTCTTTTTTTTATTTTTTTTACAAATAAAATAACTAATTTAACAAACTAAATTGATAAAACTTAATATATAAGTAATTACGTTTTACTAGAATTTAATTTATAAATAATTGTGAACAACTTTTTTGATTAACACATGCTTACTAAATTGAAACTGGCCTTCGAATTCATAAATCAAAAATATTTCTCAAGATGAGATCAAAATAATTTCATACTTAGTCATTTAAAACTTGATAATACAATGATAAAGTTATTTCAGAACTACAAAGAACTAATAATATTAAATAATATAGATATAGCTAATTCTTATCTTCAATTCTCTAAGAATATATGAATGGGAATAGGAGTTATTTTTTATATATATTTTCTGAATAGTGAAAAATTTCGGATTAAAACAATAAATTTTATAAAATACTAAAATGTATTAAAGATTTTGCGAATTTATTTAAAATTATAAAATGAATTGGAGTAAGCTTTTGAAAGACAATATTATAAATGTATATTCAATTAAATTTATAATCCTATAAAAAAGTTTTAACCTATAAATTATTTAGGTTTATAAAGTAAGAAATGTGTAAATAATGCAGTGAAGATATTAGAGAAATAATTACTTTTAGATTTTTAATATAGATAAGCAATTAGAAAGAAAATTTAAATCCTAAGATTGAAGAATCATCCAGATGTTTTTACAAAAATTGAATTTTTTGGATATTTTTGGTTGAAGAATTACTTGATAGTTTTTTATAAATTTGTGCTGGTTGTATTCTCAAAGAAGAAAAGACTATCTTATTTTAATCAAACTCTTAAACGGGTTAGTATATATTCATTGAAAAAAGATCTTGGATAGAGAAACTTTAATCAACAATATTTTACTTATTAGATCCTGTTATATCAGATTTTGAATTTGCTAATTTCTAAAGACTTGATGGAAAATATATATTTTTCAAAATATGGCGTAAATCATCACTATTTAAAATTATAATTACAAGATAGATATATATAGTCTGGGAATAGTATTTAGTAAGCTATTAATTGATTGTGCTTCTAATTCATTTGAATTTAGCAATCTGACAAAATTGTCTAAAATTCATGGATGGAATTCTCTGCTCTAATCCTAGTTTACGACTCTGATATTGAAAAATAATTTAATTAAGAGAGTTTCAAGATGATCTGAGTTACATAATGCTATGTCTAGTATGATAGAAATTCTTAAAAAATTTTTAATTAATAACTTTACTCAAGATGTTGAAACCAAAAGTTTTTCTATTCATAATGTACCTTAAATACTTTCTCTAAAGAGTTATTGATTGTTAATTAGTATATATTAAAAAATGAAATCTCCATAAAAAGATTTTGCTTCAACATAATTTGATAAATAGAAGGTTTCCTTTTGGTAATTTAAAAGTATATGTAAATTACCTTCAAGTATTAAATTCGATAGATTCAATGTCTATTCTGAAAAGAAAAAAACGTTCAAAGAGATAGAGATAACTAAGATGCAGAGTTTAATATTTAAGAAAAAGAAGAATTAAGTATGATGGCAATATGATATTAGAGTGGATTTTATGTTTTAGATATAACAGATTGTATAATTTCAATAGTAGAAAACAATCATATAGGTCATGGGCTTAGTTTTATTAAGGCAACTTTTGAGTTTCTAATATTTGGGTCTTAAATTCTTGATTGGTTTGAATAATTAAAAAAGTATTGTTATCAAACAGAGTTTAGTAATAAGTATGAGTTGTTGAGTTTATTAAACAGAGGATCATTATACAAAGTATCAATTTTATAATAATAAATTAGGTATACGATGCAATTAATATCTTCGAATAAACAAATTATACTGTGAAAGTATATGAGAAATAAATATTAACAAAATAATCAGATATTGATGCAATTAAAAAGGAGATTTCTATATTTAGATTAATGAATCATCCTGGAGTTGTAAATCTGATAGAAGTGTTTGAAAATGAATTAGGATATTTATTAGTATATGATTAATTTGAAGGAGGTACATTAAGTGATCTAATAAAAAAATATTAAATTCCTGAATAATAAGCAATTAATATAATGTTTAGATTGCTTGATTCTTTAGGTTATATTCATGAATAGAATATCTTACATAGAAATTTGAAACCTGAGAATATTTTAGTAAAGAATCTTTTAGCTCTTAATAATGTTTATATAAGTGATTTTAGTCTTGCTGATTATTTTAGAAGAGATGTTAAATATTTATTTACACGTTGTGGAACTCCAGGATATGTAGCTCCAGAAATTTTATAAGATAAAAGTTATGATTTTAAAGTTGACGTCTATAGTTTAGGAGTTATTTTTTTTACAATGTTATCAGGAGGTATCTCACCATTTCCAACAAAAAGCTATGATGAAAGAATATTTCTTAATTATCATGGATAAATTGATTTCTCTATAATTGATGCATCACTTGATTCTCTTGATTTATTAAAAAAAATGTTAGAAATCAATCCATAAAAAAGAATCAATTCATCATAAGCAATTTGGCATCCTGTATTCAAAGGATTACATAAACTTAAAATTACTAGTTTAGAATCAGAGAAAAGAAATTCTTCTATTAAATTAATTATTAAAACGAATCTGCCTCCTAAAACTATTGAAAATACAAAATTAATTACTTCTCCAATTAATTTATTACCTCCTGCTTCAATATAATTTTAAAGAAGATAAAAATTTAGAATTACATATAAAAATAATAGACAGACTTTAAGTAATGCATCCTCTCCAGGAAATAAATTATTATCAATTTAATCACAAAAAACACTCTTATCTATTTTCCCTTGAATACCAAAGTCCTTTAATTATTTGAATATATTTTTATATATGATTATACATTAAATAGATATTTATATTATTCGTTTCTTCATTTAATCCAAAAGGTTCATTTTTATCAAATTATCAATATTTTCATTTGAACCATTTACATTATGCAAACTCTCACAATTTATAATATTTAACATTATAAGATTTATTTTCAATCTTCTATATATTGAAATCGTACTTGATTTTGATAAATCAATTCATATTTATGTTGAAAGTAAAACCTAGAAATTCCATTAATATTTTTACAGATATGAAATCTTCCATATTACTTAACTTTTAGTCAATACTTTTCGAAGCAGATTAACCTTTCTGGAAAAAAGTTGATTAAAATATTAAACTTGATGAATTTTCAAAAGAAGAGTTTTTCTATTATTCTAAGAAACATAGAGAATATAAGAAAAAGGTCTTTGCTAAAAAAGGTTCGATTATAGTGAAATTTGGACAAGAAGATGTATATTTTTTAATTTAAAGTAGAATGATATGATGTGTTGTAATGTGTAAAACTCATTATTAGAAATAACAAGTCATTAAAAATTTGGTTTTGGACTTAGGTTCATCTAAAATAATAATTGTTTAGAAGTTTTCGGTTAGATTGATTAATGGAATCAAGAACTTAAAAAATATTGCATTCAAACAGATCTTAAAACCAAATATACAATTGGTAAAAAACTTGGAACAGGGAGTTTTGCTGATGTATTTTTATAATTTAAATAAAAGGTATATCTTATAATTAACAATATGAGTGGATAAGAGTTTGCTGTGAAAATATATGACAAGTCTTCTAATAAATTTGATTTAACTTGTGTAAAATAAGAATTAGATATTTTACGATAAATGGATCATCCAAATACAAGTTAAATAATCGAAACTTATGAATCATCAAAATATTTATATTTAGTTCAAGAGTTTTACAAATATGGAAGTCTCTATGATTATCTTATAAAAAATGAGATATCAGAAGAAGATTGTATAAAGACCACTTATAAATTGTTAGAAGCACTATTTAGTATTCATTCGAAAGGAGTTTTGCATAGAGATATAAAACCTGAGAATATTTTACTTCGTAAACCAAATCTTGAAGATATTGTAATATCAGATTTTGGATTAGCTGTTTATTTTAATGAAAATGGTAATTATAAACATCAAAGAGCAGGAACACCTGGTAATATAGCTCCAGAAATACTAAAAGATTAGAAATATGATTATAAAGTTGATGTTTATGGTTTAGGAATTGTACTTTATTAAATGTTAACTTCTAAATAATCTCCATTTTACAATTAAAACTATGAAAAAATGTTGAGTTTAAATTAAGATGGCTTTATAGATTATTCGTAAATAAAAGCATCATTATAAACTATTAATTTACTTACAAAAATGCTTGATCCTGATCCTTTGACAAGATATACAACATTATAAGCTAAATAAGATTAGGTATTTAAAAAATATAATCGACAAACAATTATAATTAAAAGAAAGAAAATTGTTAAAGATTAAACTGTTTCTAGTTTTAGCCCAAGAAGTAATTCGATTTATTGTTCTTAAATGATTCCTCCAATCAAAGTTTAAAGTCCTAAAAATAGTTCTTTATTCAATAAAAGGATATTAGGTATTCCTTTAAGATATAAAAATAACGAGAGAAGATAATTTTTATCTCCAAATTCTTATTTAGATTATGATATCCTATGTAATTCAGCGAAATAAAAATTCAAAATTTCAAGTAGCCAAATTAGAACAAGTATTTATTAAGGGATGATTTCTAAGAAAGCTGCATTTTGATTTGCATTTTAGTTTTATTTGATTATTTATTTTTTTGTTTATTGATTACATATATTATTATTATTAATTTATATGTATTATTTAATAATCATATTTATTGGAATAGCTTGGTTTTGTTGGAGAGATAATATTAAATGCAAATTTCCTATTACATCAAAAGATATAGTTTTAATAACAGGAGCATGTATGGGTTTGGGAAAAGCTTTGGCAATAGAATGTGCTAAAAAAAAATGTAAATTAATACTTTTGGATGTTCGATCAGATTTATCTTTGGATTTACTTTAAGATATTAAAAAAGAAGGAAGTGAAGCATAATTTTATAGATGTGATCTTAGTGATTTATAATCAACAAAAGAATTAATTTCAATAATAAAATAGAAATACAAAGTCACAATTTTGATAAATAATGCTGGAATAGGAATTTTTAAATTGTTTTAAGATGAATCAATGTAAGATGTGATTAAAACGAATACAATTAATTATCTTGCTCCAGTTATGCTTACTTAAGAATTCATTAAAGATAATATTAAACATATTGTTAATATTGGTTCTGCTGCATCTATTGTTTAAGGGATGAAAATAACTGCTTATTCTGCTAGTAAACATGCATTATGGGGATTTCATAATTCATTAAGAATGGAATTAAAGCATTAAAATAGTAATGTTAGAACAACTTTAGTTTGTCCTTGGGGAATTAAAACAGGGATGGTATACATTTATTATCATTATAGATTTAAGGATTGAAAACAAAATTAGATTATTTTTTACCTATGATGACTCCTGAATATGTTGCATAGTGTATTCTATAAGCAATAGAAGCAGGAAGAGAGATAATATTTATATAATGGTACTAATTTTATATTGCTCACATTTCAAGATTAGTATCAAGTAAAATTGTTGATTGGTTTATTTTATTTGTTTAAGCTAAACATGTTCATGAATTTAAGGGTAGATAAGAATGATATTTTGAGTTGTTAATTATTATTTATTCTTAATTTTGCATAAATAATGATATATATTATTTTATAATTTAAATATGTATATAAATTAAGAGATAAAAATTGTTCTAGAGAATTTTCATAATTAATTTAGATGATTTTAAGAATGATAAACATTTATGGTTTTTGTAGCAATAACTATAATTATCATAAGATTGTTGGAACACTTCCAGGAAGAGATAATAAAGAATTAAAGGAGAATTTAGAAAAATTCACTAGAATTTATTAATAGGTTGATTTAAGGTAAATTTAGAGAGAATAGATTCAGAAATAAAGTTTAAAATTTATATAGTAGAATATAGAAGCAAGATAATTTGGAGAGGAATCTTAAGTTATTTAGAAGGTATTTAGAGTTATTATGATAGAGAGAAGAATAATTAAGTATCTATTTGAAAATGATGGGAATATTCTTTTTTGGAATGTTGATATATTTAGGAAAAGATACATATACATTTTTGAAGAATCCTCGAAATGTACTATTATATGATGAGAATACAGGAAAAACATACTACACAACAAAAGCAGAATTTGAAAAGATTAAAGCTGGGGAAAAAATAAACAAAGAATATAAAGAGTTTAGATTTAAGGTTTTATCTAAATAGTAAGATTAAAAAGAGTTAAAAAAAGATAAAGATTCATTATTTTGATAATTATCTAAATAATTAATTCAATCTTATAAAATCAATTTAAATATAAATGGTAAAATGATATAATAATAATAAACAAATGTTGAATCATATTAGTTTTGATTCCTTAATTGCTTAGGTCAATATTATAGCATTTTATTTATGTATATTAAATAGAAACTATCAATTAATAATATCGTAAAACATTATAAAAATATTAAGATACACAAATATATATCTAATAAATTTTACAGCCAATCCTATCCTTGCTTTTATTTGAACATCCTCAATTTTATATGAACATAATTGTTGTTTTATATAAATCATAGTTTTAGAAATACACAATAGATAATGATATATATTAAATTTAAATTTCAAAATTTTATACCAAATCACAATTCTTCACAATAAATTTCTTCTTATACAATTTATTCCTCCTCTTCACTTTATGCTTTATTTTTTAATAATGATGGTGGCTACAAGAAACTGTCAAACATTTTAATTTCATTCTATTTCTCTTCCTTCTACTATTCCTTTATTTCCTTCTAATTTTCCTTTATTTCAATTTTCTATTCTTTTATTTCCTCTACTTTTAAATCTACAAATTTTATCTACTCACTTTATTTCTTTACTAAAGGTATGCTCTCAACATAATTTTCACTATATATTACATTCTCTCTTCCACATGTTGTTGGTTTTCGACTTTCTGATGTTTTCAATAATGAATAATCATTTAATCTTAATTCTAGATTAAATAATTATTTTACATGATAATGTTAAAACTGGTTCAACTTTAATCTAAATTTTCATTTCTGATTTCTATTCTATCATTTCTTCATCATCATTCTATTATATTATTGCCTTTGGAATTGATCTATATATTTGAAAATCAATCTTTTATAATTTATTTTATTAATCCATCAATTCACATTCCTCTCTCAAATATAAACGTAAAAATCCTTAATCTATTTTTAATTAATCACCAAAATACAAAGAATTAATCAATCTGAGAAAACTTAATTATTCCTAATTCCATTTAGTATTGTTTTAAATATATATAATATAATCGTCAATATTGTAAATAGTGTCTTATAGTTTTAATAATTTCATTTCTCCATTAAGAAACTTTATCAAAGTTTTTTTATTAATAATAGTTTTGTAATTGAATAAAGTATCTTCTTTACTTGGAGTAATTTTAGAAATCATATCATTAACACTCTAAGTATCTTCCCATTAAATTTTATACCCATATCCTTAATCTTCTCCTATATAATATCTACTTAAAAGTAGAGCATCTTCTTCTTGATAGTTAAATGGTCTCTTCATAAAAAAATCTAACCCTTATTTTAATTGAATAAATTCTATCCCTTTTAATAAGTATTATAATCTTGATTTAGTTAAACACAATGAAATAACTTTGTATCTAAGATCTTCAAGTAATACTTATAATCTTTCTTTGTCTATTGGATGAGTATTGATAATGTCTGTAGCTTTAGGTTATGGTTACTCAATATCTGGGAATTAAGTAAATGAAGAACGATAACATTTGGGTGGAATTAAATGTTTAACTAAATGTTCTTCAGAAGGATTCTTCTATTTAAGTAAATCTTATATAGCAACACGATCTTATAAATCTTGACTAATTAATAAAATATAATTGGCAATTATACATAAGTTAATCTTTCTTAATTATTGCATCTTCTAAGTTCATTTTAGTTTTTTGATATAAAACTAATTATTATTTGAATTCTCTATCTTAATCTTGATATTATTTAGTTAGAGATTTATATTTATTTTCATATAAAGATAATTCACCTTTTAAAGTGTCTACTTATTTTAATACACTCCTACTATATAAATAAATAGATAACTGTAATTTCTTTTCTAAATATTCTCTTTTCTTTAACTGATATTATTCAGTTTCTGTAATAATTTAATCCTCAAGTTTTCTTTTTAATTGAGTTTTTTCGAAAGTGATATATTTAATTTCTTCTTACACCTTCATATTATCTTCAATGAGTTCTTAATATTCATATTTTAGTTGATTAATTTACTTTTCTAGTACTTCAATTTGTTTCTCTTGGGCATTTATGGTCAACACATAATTTTTAATACGCTCTCCTATATCTGGATTACTAAATAAACTGTTTTCATATGGAAAGCACATACTCTTGATCTGTCACCTTAATGGCGACTAATTAAAACTGTTTTAATCTCATGATTTCATCTTATTGGTTCTTAATTTCTTTTTGTAATTCTACAAGTTATGTTAATTTAACTGATTTGCATTGTCTTTTTAAATCTTCAGTAAGCTCGGATATTTATTAAGCTTATTCTCTAATCTTTGCTTTTAAAATTGGCACAATGCTTCCTTCCTATTTTGATGTTGTCAATCCTAATGGATCTGTCTATAATTATAATCGATCAACTTTTTCTAATTAATAAACACGATTCTAAATAATACAAATTCAAATCTAAACTATTACTTATAATTATTGAATCAAAGTACGTAACTTAATATTCTACATACGAAGTACATTAACTTCTTATTTTTAATGAATATTTTATATATAAAGATTTTCTCCATCAGCATAACATTTTGCTGGAGGACTTATAACTTTTTTAGACTTTGGTGTGAACATTAAATGAGACATTGAATCTCTAGAACGAACTTCAGAAGTCTCAGATTTCAATTTCATTATTGCTGAGTATGGTCTATTCTGCATTATAAAGTTAATTATATATATATATATATATCAATTTTTTATTTCTATTCTCTACTTTATTTTATTTTATTTTAATTTCTTATTTCATCTACAGATAATTTTATATCTTTCTATTCTTACGTTAACTTTATTTCCTTTTTAAATGATTTTTTTAAGCAAATTTTCATAATGAATTTAATAAGAAAGAAAAATTGATTTCCATGTATTGCAATAATAATAATAAGATCTTTTAGGCACTTTAGGATCTTATGAAACTAATTAAAGATAATCTATTTAGATAATAATTTTAAAAAATAATTAAACTTTCAGAAAAAGATTTAGAATTAGAGAATCTTTTAGATCTTGTTTTTCATTTTTATTGTTAAAAAGTATAAACACTATTGCATTTGATTAGTGGAAATAATAGATATCTATCTATGAGAATAGCGAAAATCATAGAAAATTATTGAAATTGTAAATTAATTATAGAGTAGTAAATTTCACATCATATATTACACTATAGATTGACATTCATCAATAATTAGATCAATTTCTCTTTCTAATTTAATGATTTCAAATTTTTGAATTGAAAATTTCATAGCTAATTGTATAATTTAATTAACATTTAGATTTATTTTTCTAAGTTATTAGACAGAGTTTTTTCTAATATTATCTTATTTATATTTTATTTTTTATTTTTGATCAATTCTCGTTTACAACAATTCTTGATAAATCTAATTATGAAAAAATGAATAATAAAGATCAACTTCTCTTTTTACAGATTTTCGATGTTTGTTCTTATTGAAACCTGTAATGATATTTTTAAGTTTCATTCTCTTTATTTTTTCATAAGATTCTTATTTTTTTTTAATGATAAATGATTATACTTAATTTTCTTATTCTACAACTTTACCGAATTTATTCATAAGCTTTTATAAATAATTATTAGTATCAAACATATTAGTTTAAACAGTTTATTGACTTCTAGTGGCAATAAGATCTCTGATGAATTTATAATCTGGATCTGAAACTAAGGCACCTCTTCTTTTTTTAGCTCTAACAATCATTTATTTGATTCTATCAACAGCCTTGATATTTATTATATTTTTTACCATTCTAAACTTTTCTCGTAATAGCTTTTTTCTAGCTTATTTTTAACCTACAACAGATAACATTAAATCTTATTAAACACTTATATAATTTCGACAATCAATTTTGGATTTAAATTATTATCTATTTTCACTTGATCTTCGAGCTTATTGTGTTTTAACAACTTTCCCTTCAACAATAATAGCTGTAGATCTTTTCAGTCTAAAAGCTTACTCTAAAAATAAATATATATAATACTCTATTTTTACTCTGTATAATCAGATAGTAAGATTTTCCTTCTCTTATACATCTAAAATAATTCAAAAAATTGAGTTGTATTTTCTTTTATTAAAGATTCAAAAAATCTACCTGGACACATCAATACAACACTTTTAGTAACAGCATGAGCATGCCATCTTCTTAAAGTTTATTCAATAGATTCTACTTCTCCAAAGACTGTTCCTTCCATAACTCTGATTATACATTCTCCAGAGGCATCAGATAATCTGACATCACCACTAAGAAGAAAATAGAAATCTGAAGCACTCTAACCGATATGATAAATAGTAGAATATTCATCATATTTAGCAAAAGTACAATATGGTAATACCATAGCAGAGAAATTAATATCATTAGCAATAAAAGGTACCATCTTAAGTATTTCTTTATGAGTTGATGCAATAATGTATTATCTCATTTTCCAAGGTAAAGCTTAGACCATATCTATTGTATTACGTGCCCAAAAAGGATTATGAGATATGTTAAATTTGGCAAATTAAATAAGTTCTTTCAATACATCATCAATCATGAAAGTTTAATCACCTAATTCTTCAAGTAAGATTAATTAATCTTCATATTCTTAACGTGGATTTATATTTACTAATATACAAGTGATATCACCAATAGTAAATGAATAAAATCCAACTCCTATAAGCATCCAAAATATTTATAGAAAGAATTCATATGAAGTATGAGCAGCTATATCTCCATATCCTATTACAGTTACTGTTTATATTGCCCAATAAAAACATATAATATATTATTTTTCTATATTGAAATCATAAACCTTCTCTCTTATTACCCAAGTGTCTTAATTGAATTCATCAATTCTAGCAATCCAAAACCATAAACATGCAAAAATATGAGTTAAAATAACCATATCTAAAAATATAGTTACTACTCTTCTTATTCTTAAATCTATATTATAATCTTCTCTATAGAATAGATCTTCATTTACTATAATTTCTTTCTTTTTTATTATATCATTTGCTGTATGATAATTTTCTCTCCTTTCATACATAAAATATTTGGCTATTCTAAATAATCTCATTAATCCTAATATTTAAATTCTTTTAAAATCTTCAAATGGAATTATAGATAGTAAATCTATTAAAAACCAACTTTTTAAATAATAAGGAATTATTGTATCAAAAGTATGCAAAAGAATATTATGTTCATCAATATGACAACTTGTACAATTAAATAAAATATCTAAAGCAAATATAGCTGAAATCATTTAAATCACTTCCCTTCCAACTCCCCTAATATTTTAAATTATAATACTTAGAATGCTAAATAAAAAGGTAGAATTATTGATGCTATACAATGTAATGCTTTCATTATAATTATCCATATTATATATATCTTATCATCTGGATACAAAGGAAAAAAGTTACGATGCCTATATTTGTATTCCATATGTTATGCCTTTAATTAATCAGCATATTAACGAAGTTCCTTTATAAAATTCATTGCATGTATTAATTTCTTACTTAATTGACGAAATTCTGTTTTTATATTTCTTCTCTATTATTAAGAATGACTAACAAAACTTAACTTTAAATGAGAGTCTGTTCTTGATATTGTTAATCTTGATTCAGTCGAAGATGGATTATAAAGTGGCTATCTATTCATTATATATTCATTTACAAATATCGAGAAGTCTTTGCATTATGAAGCTTTTTCATTTAATTTGAACTACTTCTATTTCCACTTACTGATGTAACTTCATTTATTGGAGAATCATCACCACTTATTGGGTATATTTACATTTTATAAACCTTTTTTTATTATTATTTATATATTATTTCAAATCAAAAGAATAATCAATCTAGATTATTATAAGGTTCTAACTTCATTTCCTCTATTATCTATTTAATATTCAAAATTATCAGTCAATTTTATCAATTTAATTTTATTATTCACATTTATTTTAAGAGTTAATCTTTTTTATTTAATATAACTTAATATCATTTCATTTTTGAATCTTTCGCCAAAAATTATTAAAAATGAATATAATTTGTTGATCATATATTTATTTTTATATATAAATTCAAATGTGACATTTTTTTCAATTTATACAATAATTCTTTTGTTCTAATTTTATTTAATCTAATGAATTTATGTAAAATAGCTTATAAATTATTTATTATGTCAAATAATAATAAACATTTTCCTTTACCTTAAACATTTGATTAAGAAAATGTTCCAACCATATCTAAAGTTCATTACCCTACCTTTGAACTTTAAGAATAGTAATAATTATCGTAGAATCAATTCAATTAACCTATTTAATAAGGATTTCCAATTTAATACTCTTAAACATAAAATTGTATAATATAGAAGATAAAATCATAGTTTAATCAATTCAATCTAATACATCAGTTATTGTGGATTGTCATTATTGCTAAAAATAAGTTCAAACTATTGTTTCTTATGAAGCAGGAGCTGGAGCTTTTTTAGTTGGAGGAGTTCTTGCTGCTGTAGGACTTTGGTTTGGGTATTTATTATTTTAAATTATTTTAAGCTGTTGTTTGATCCCTTGTTATCTTAAAGATTGTTAAGATTCAGTTCATTTCTGTTCACAATGTTCTGCTTATTTAGGAAAGAAGAAATTTTTATTTTGAATCAAATAGCATTATTTCATAATTATAATAATTACATAATAAAAACTCTTTTTTTATCCTTTATTCTTACATCTACATATATCGATTATAAATGATAAATTATTAAACATATTTCATTACATTTTATATCATAATTTTTCTTAATCATCATTCAAAGTTTTTAGGTAAAAGCTTTATTAATGAGAAATTAATTATATCTTAATAGACTGATAATTATATACTCAAATATTATTAAATTTATATTTATAATATCTTATTTATTTTATTAAAATCAACCTTTTTAAATATTTTTCATTAAATTCTTTTATTTCTGAATAATTAAGTTAAAGCATTTTATAATAATTCATTATATTTGTTAACTTATAACAAAAATATAAAAAGCATCATTTAAGATATTCTAATAGATATCATGTTGAAATAATTGGAAATTATTAATTAAGCAACTTTATAAAAATTATAAGAAATATTAAATTTAACTATTAATTAGTTCAATTATAATTGATATTGCCATACATTGATATGGGTGGATGTGTTATTCATTTTAGCTTTTACTAAGCATTTTCAATAAATATAATCAAATCAAACAATGTTGAATTTACAAGATTTGAAAAAATGAATAATCATTGGGTTTTCTTATAAATGAGGATTGATTAATTAATTTATTTACAATTTTAAGATGATTAGAATTTAAATAATGGGAAAAGATTTTTTGTATGATTTTATAACCAATATTTCGAATAAAATTAATTTAAGATTCAAGAATTTATAGTATAATTTTCGTTTACTATCAAATAATAATTACTATCATATATTGCCTTCTTTTTATTTTAGGTAATAGATTTTTGATTTAATCTTGACATTGTTTAGCTTCATCTATAAAATATTTATAAAAATCCAATAAGGCATATTCTTTTGTCATTTACTTAAATCCTGTTCAACAAAATGTTCGAACTTTTTAACTTCAATTTTCTGAATAATTAATTTTTTAAAAGAACAGAAGAAATAAAATATTTCAACGATATTTCTAAGAATTTCTGTACTTTTGCTACTCGCATTATTGTAAAAATATTATTTGATTGATTCTTTTAATTTAATTAATAGTTACAATTATTTGTTTTATTAAGAGGATTAAAATTCCTAATTATAATCTCCGTTATCTGACTGAACAAGATTTTTATTACTTAAATAAATAATAAAAATTTTTTTTCTTTTTTGAATAATTTTAATTTCCAGATTTGTTTTCTAATAAACTGAATTTTTAATTTCTTTTTGAAAAAATGGATGATGATTTAATATAATTGATTAGTTTAGATATTTATAAACAACAAATGATTTCATTCTTCATTATTAGCTTCTTAATTTTAATCTGAATTTTAAATTCTAGCTTTTAATTTTTAATCACCTTTTCGAAGCTTCTTTCTTTTCTTTAAGGCTAGAGTACTGAGATCTTATTATTAAACAAAAACCTTTCCTCGTTTATCTCCTATTTCATCATAAACAACATTTTTTTCCTAAAATATATAAAGAATATATCTATACATGAGGTTTTGCTTTAGGTTTAGGTTAACGACAAGCTTTTTTAAAAATATCATCTTCAGCCCATTTAGTTCTTCTGATTTCAAAAACACTTCTAGGTCCAATTTCTTAAACTTTAATTCCATCTTCTTATATTTATTTTTATAAAATTGTAATTGCTAATGTACTATCATCTGTAGCTGTTATGCTAATGATTAAATTAATATCAGATTATTTTATATCTAAGATGGGTACATTTTCAAAAAAGAAATCAGTTAAAAGATTATGTAATTTCATATGATTTGCATTAAAACCAAAAACTTCTCCATTAAAAATAATTAAAGGTCTTGAATGCATAGGAATTTCAATAGAAGCATTGAATTCTTCTTAACTTTTGAATTCTTTTAGATGTAATTCAACCATATCTAATATTTTTTTATCAAATGTTCTTCCAATAATAAGATTATCAGGACGTTTCTTAGAATTTGACACAAAGCAAAACATACTACATTGACTTCTATCACAAAATGTTTCTAATTGTTTAGTATCTTCAAATGGTTAGATTTCATGATTCTTATTATAAGTTATACTAAAATCTCTTTTAAGCATATGCCATTCATGTGCCAATTATCTAACACTAAGAGAAGTCTTAGGACCACGAATGAAAAGAGTTTATTTTGGACCTTCAACTAATTTAGGTTCACGAGACTCTAAAATTCTTTTACCTTTATGAGTCTTTGCTCCTCTATGTGTTGTTTCTTCTTGATCAGACATTATAATTTTAATTTAATTTAAAGAATTTTTGTACTAAAATAAATTTATTTATAAATATATATAAGAAATTTACTATTCAATAATCACTTTCTTCGCTTTCTACTTCTTCATCATCATGTTCTGATTTAATATCGTTATCTTCTAATGCCATTAAATTTCTCTCTCGTTCTCTATTAAAATAAATATAAAAAATAATAATACTCTTATCTTCTTTCTTCCTCTAATAGTTTTCGTTGTCTTGCTTTGATTTCTTGTTGAATTCTTAATTATTTTAATTATTCTTTCTAAATATCTTTTTATGTCTATGGTTCTAATCTTGGTTATTTAAATTTAGTTAAAGTAGGAGGTTTACGATTTTTTAATTTTTTGATATGATTGCTCATTCTAAGTTTAAATTCATCCTCCTTATTGGTATGTAAATCTTTATGCTATAAATAATATATAATAATTTGATTACTTTTTTAACTAGAAACTAAGTTAGAATATCTGTAAATTCAAAGAGTAATAATTCATATTTAATAATAGATGTTGCTTTTTCTAAGGTCTTTTTTTAATCTTTTTCTGCTGTTTAATCTTATTATTTCTTTCTACGTTTATTACCATCTTCTCTGATTGTTTGATTTACAGAAGATTAATCAATTTATGAAATGGATTATTAAGTTATTTAACCTTCATCTGTGTCGAAGTTTTTATCAACATAACCAATTAATATAGCTTTATCTTATTCAGAAGCATTAAGAAGTTTATAAATTTATTCTAAATTAATAGTTCTATCTGTAAATCCGAATTATGTTTCTCTATTTTCAATTGACCAGATATCAAATATTGGTTTAATTTCATCAATAAAATCTCCAATAATAATTTTAGGATGAGTTGATTTTTTTGTATCATCTAAAGATTGATTTTATTTACCCTTCTTTCTTTCAAAATATGGTGTCAATTTACTTATAATTACTCTCTCAATAGCTCTGTGTAAATCAATAAGATTACCATATTTTAAATATGATAATCTAACAATTAGTTCAATAAAATGTCTAAACAAAATACATCTTCTAGGATCATGAATATCTTCAACTTTCTTTTTGAATGTAACATCTTTGAGTTAGAAATCTGTATAATTGATTTTATCATTTGATATACAATCAAAAGCCATCTATTAATGAAATAAATCATTAAGTTCTTATAAATTTATATTACTACCCTATCTACTAAGAACATCAATTTCAACATTTAATTCTTATCTATCATATTTTAATCTATAATTATTCTTAGATCCTTATAAGAAATTTCTGTTTAATTCAGCTAGAGAATAATTTTGATTCAATAATTTAGCCTATAAATAGTTATATAATAATAATACATCTCTAGCTATTTTCCAAAATCCCTCTAAACTTAAAGAAAAAGTGTCTTCGTAGAGCATATTTTCAAATTTATTTGCAAAGAATTTATATTATGTTTTGAGTGTATAATTATGTCTTAACAACATCGTTTAGACATTTTGATCAATTGATTATGAATCGACTTATAATCCTTTATATAAATCAGAGAAATCGATCATATAAGAATAAGGATTAGTTTCAATATTCTTATTGAGATTAGTTTAAGTTTGATTAGGATTATTAGGATTATTAATTCCTGCCAATTTTTCAGGTCTTTTAGTAGTATTTCCCATTTTATTTTTATCTTTATCTTTATTATCTTTATTATCTTTATTATCTTTGTTATCTTTGTTATCTTTTTTCTTATCTTTATTATCTGTTACTTCTTTAGGATTTTCATGTTATTAAATTAATTCATTACCTTATGGTGCAATTTCTCTAGGTAATATACCAGTTCTTGATTCATTTTCAGTAGTAGCATATACTTTTACAAGTCTATCTTATTTAAATTCTCCTAAAATAAAACCACCTGTATCAGTAATAAATAGAGCAACTCCATATTTAAGATTATTTTTCCAACTACCCATATATTTAGCACCATTTGCATAATAAAATACTCCAACTCCACTTCTTTCTCCATTCTCCCATTCACCTTCATATCTATTCCTTAGATATTTTGAACCTTCTCCTTTTGGTTCAATCCATAAATGAACTCCCCAACCATTTTATACATTATCCTTCCATTCTCCATAATACTTTTCATTTGAATTCAACCAAAACATCACTCCAGAACCTTCTTTCTTATCCATTAAGAAATCTCCATCGTAATAATTCCCTGAAGGATATATCATTTTCCCTTTTCCAGATTTATTTCCTTGATAAAATTGTCCCTCAAATGTAGCACTAAATTTCAAATTTGTCACTCTTACCCACTTTTAAATGTAATCTTTCCAAAACCATGTCTCAAACCATTCTCCCATTAACCTTCATATACAGCTGATTTATCTGCTGTTATGAATTTCCCTTATCCATGTCTCAATCCATTCACTACTGTACCACTGTATGTAGACCCTTCTGGCCATTAATATGTTCCTTATCCTTCAATTTTGTTGTATGTGAATTCACCTTTATAGATAACTCCTGATGCCCAAGTAAATGTGCCCTCACCTAGATTATTGTTATTTACTATAACCATGTAACATTCCATTATGAAACTCTCCTTCATATTTATTTCCATTTTTGAATGTAACTTCCCCCTTTCCATGTAATGCTTTTCCATAAACTTAATCAGGCTGATCCAAGATAGCCAAATCAGCATCCCACTTATCATAAATGATCTTAGCCAAATCTAAGGGAATTATTAGATTTTTTGGATCCTCTTTGAAATTCATTTTATATATTAATTTATTATGATTCTTTATTCTTCATATAAATATTTATTTTATGGGAAATTGCTAGTAGTGTGATAACTCAGATACTATACAGAATCAAGAAATTTAGACATCTAAAACTACAAAATCATAACCAAAATTGAAAATCAATAATAATGACCTTAAAGGTATAATTTAAATATAAGCAAACTTTCGAGGCTTTATAACAAGAAAGTATAAATGTAATATTGATATAGAAAATATAAATTTTAATAATGTGGATCAATAGCATAAAAATATAGTGCTTAAATTAAGCGATAAAAGAGTTCACAAAATGATGCAGTTATTTCTGACTGTTCTCAAATTCATATTTAATAAGTACAATTACTACAAAAGAAGTAATCTTAACATGATTAAGATGATCATCGATAATTTTATAATGGTGAAGTGAATATTAATATCAATAAAGATGAAGATGCTAGTTCATATTCTGAAGTGAGAAGTAAACATCTAATTAGTTTTTAAATGAATGAATTATGTTTTATACCTTTACATAAGAAAGATTAAGTAAAAGTTTAAAATGAAGAAATATAAAAGTTATCAATTTTACAATTAAAAAATGGATCATATTATGAGGGATAATGGAAAAAAGGAATGGTTCATGGATTTGGTAAATATTCATTATCAGAAACATCTTTTTATATAGGAGAATGGTTTGAGAATAAAGCAAATGGATTTGGTACATTTTAACATTCGAATGGTGATTTATATATAGGGATATGGAAAGATGGTACAGCAAATGGTAATGGGAAATATTCATTTGCAGATGGAACTTATTATGAAGGTGAATGGTAGAATGATTTACCAAATGGATTAGGTAAACAAACATATGGAGGAGGATGGATTTATGAGGGTAAATGTTAATTTATATTTTAAAGCTAGGAAGCTTTTAAGCTGGTTTTAAAAGTGGGTTTGGTTAATTGATATATCCTGATGGATCAATATATGCTGGTAAATTTGAAAAAGATTTAATGAATGGTTAAGGGATTTTGAAATTTCCAGATGGTAGATTATATGATGGAGAATGGAAAAATGCTATGAAAAATGGTAATGGATTATTTCGATGGCCAGATGGTAGAACATATGAAGGATAATTTGTTAATGATTAAAGAGAAGGATATGGTACTTTATAATGGCCAAACGGATAAAAATATCGTGGTTTATGGAAAGAAGGACTTTAAAATGGAAATGGATTAATTATTAAATCTAATGGTGTTACATTTAGAGGTAGATGGATGAAAGGAAAACTTATAGCAACAAAGCTCACTATTAATACTCCACTTAAAGTTATTAAAAATGAATTAAAAAATGATATTTTTTGAATATATATATATGATTTTCTTGATAGAATTTAAAAAATTATTTAATTAAATGTTTGAATGTTCGATATGCTTAGTTGTATATGATAACACTTAAGCCCTTACATTTCCATCATGTATGCATACATTTTGTAAAAATTGTTTAAAATCAACTTTTGAAACAAGAATTAAAGAATAAAATGTTAATTTAGACATCTTCAAATGTCCTGGATGTTAAAAACCATTTGATTAAAGTTTCATAGAGAAATTTGTGTCTGCAGAAATTTTTAAGAAATATTGTGAATTGAGTATAGAAATGAATCAAATCTATGGATTGGAAGATGATGAAATTTTAGCTAATTGTTTGAATGAATAATGCAGAGAGAAATATATAATTTGGAAGAATGCAGGTTTCTATGATTATATTATTATTAAGAATACTAAAAATGTATAAAATGTAAAATGGAATATTGTCGCTTATGTTTTTTACCATAACATAAGGATATATGTACTTGTGAAGAATAAAAAATGCTTTATTAAGACAAAGTTTATAAAGATTTAAAAATTCTGCTTAAAGCTTGTCGATGTCCTAAATGCAGAATTATGGTTGAAAAAGTCGCTGGTTGTAATTTTATGACTTGTAAATGTGGTACTTTTTTTTGTAATTTATGCGATATATAACTTGAAAAACAAGTGTTATTTTATATATAAATTATTAGGATCATAATTCTCATTTTGAAGGAAATAGTCCATTTAATGCTAAATGCAAAATTAAAGTGAATGGTAAATGGGAAACAAGACCTGCATAAAAATTAGAAGATCCATAAATAAAAAAAAAAATAATAATTAAAGAAGTTGTAAATTAAATTAATCCTATACCTTGCCCCAATTGTAATTCAACTAATCCTTAAGTCACCAAATTACAATTATATGATAGAATAGCACATTGCAATAGTGTTAAATGTTAGAATAGAGCTTATTGTTTAACATGTAAAAGAATGATTCCACAATAAGAGTTATTAAATCACTTCAATAATACATTAGATTGCAAATTTAAATGATAAAATGAATTAATACATTTTATTTAATCAATTTATATTATAAATTTTTTATTAAAATGTTTAATATTGTAGGGGAACTTTGGAAAGCTCAATAATATGCAATGTATGATTGTTGTTTTGAAGTTCCTTAAACATTTTATATATAAGGTAGTAAAATATCTCATTATTTGACCAGTTCTTAATGTTCTGGTAAAATATTAAAAAAAAGAAAAGAAAATATTACATTAAAAAATGTCTTAGATATTTTTAACTCTAAAGAAAAGTATGTATGCTCATTTTAAAGATTATTGAATAAGAAAGATATTTAATTTAAATATTTAACACGAAATGAACTTGAAGCACTTATATCTGATATCACTCGTTTTTCAGAACTATATTAAGACATTATCATTTAATAAACCTTTCCTAGTGAAAACTATATTACATATTCTAGAAAAGGACATATAACTTAAATTTAATAAAGAATTCCACTATCTTTAGAACCATTAATTACTTTGAAACAAAGTTAATTTGCTTGTGAAAAAGTTATTTTTGAAACTAGAGTAAGTAAAGTTGGATTGGCAGTTGAAAAATTAATAACTTTGATTTAAGGGTAAAAACTAAATGAAATTGAAATTTATATCAAATAAGTTGGAGATAAATTGATAATTATTTGGAACACTATTCTTTAATGTAAAAATAATAAAAGAACTTTAAATTTTATTAATTCTCAAAATTACTTACATAATTAGGAATTTCTTGAATAGTTTTAACCAAAAAAATAAATCAAAGATGATATTACTGTAATTTAATGTTGTGGGTGCAGAAAAATAACTAAAATTAATGATACTTTTGAAGTCTTAAAAAATAGAATTTGGAAAATTAGAATGCATAGAAATCTTCATCATTTAAATGATTAAAAATTAAATTTAGATATAACCGGAAGAATCATACCTAAACTTGATGATTGTTAATTTGTAAGAGTATGTGGAATATGTTATAATAGTTTTATTGAAACAATATCAAATAATAATACAAAAAATGAAAATAGTGCAAGGAAATAACCTTAAAAATAATAAGATTTTTAGTCTATTATGATGCCATATGGTCCTAGAAGGAAATTTTAGAAGTTTAATGATAATTAAACAAATGCTCATTCTGGAAGTCGCAAAAATAGCACTTAGATAAAAGAGAAAAAAATGACACCATAATTTATGAATTCAACATTTGATTAAAATTATGAAAGTATTTAGAATTAAAAGATGGAGATTGATGATGAGTTTGATTAATTATTAAATGAAGTTAAAAATGATATCAGTAGTTCTTATTAGTTCAATAAAGTGATGGCTAATAAGGCTAGAATATAGAGTGCATAAAACAATAATAAATTTAGATTATATTACTAATGATATATATATAAATAAAATAAAAAGAATCAATCACAAACTAATTTAAGAATTTCTAATGAATTAATGTCAAGTTGTTTTTCATTCTAGAAATGTAAAAATAATAAAATACCAACTAATTAATTACTCTAATATATTTTGAAGTAAATTTAATTGATGATAAAATTTCTAATTTAGTTTTATTGTGAATCTTAAGAAAATCATCAAATAAATTTTCTTATAGATCTTTTTTATGAAGTAAATATAGAATTGAAAAGGAGAGATCTTCTAAAGAATATCTCAGGTAATTATGATCTAGAACTATAACATTGATAATTTAATTAATGGTTTTGTAATTTTGATCTGATTATGTTTTTTGATTAGGAAAAACATTATAAAAGCTATAAATAACTTCAAAGATGATATCTTATAAAGTTAATGGATTGGTGTGCCAATCTAAAACTTTAAGAATGAATCTTTCATATTAGATAAGTTATTATTTAGTCATGTTGAGGGATGATTATGATAAAAGTGAAGTTATATTAGGTGTTTCAGCATTCATTTTAGTGGCAACAAATATCATAGCTAAAGAGAGAAATCTTAATTAAGTTTAGTTATTTATGGTCTTAGTAGATAATCTGGAAAGGAATAGATCATATAGATATATAGCTTTATGAGAGTAATGGTTATTCAAATTTAAACAATTATCTTATATTCGATTTAAGATTATGGCTCTTGTTTTAAAGTTATATTCTTTTTCATGATATTCCTACAAATAGAGAGGATTGATATTATAAAATTCTTTCTGAATGGGTATTGGTGATGATTTAGTCTAAAAAGTGATTGGTGTTGGCTCTTCATTATTTTTGATAGTCTCATAACAATATAAATCATCTTCATAAGTGTGAAGAGTACTTTCACCATTGACTTTGATTTTCTATAACAGATTGAAAGAATTAATACCTTAATAATTTATGGAGATTGTATTAAATAGTCAAATTGAGTGAAATCTTGAGTAGTTGTTTGAGTGTTGACGCATCTTTTAACTGTACTTGATTTAGTGGAAGTGGCAAAATAGTCTAAGGATCTATAGTAATGTCTTACTTGCTGAGCCTACTTAATTAAGTCCTAGCATCAGTTTAAATCTTTTGTTATCCATCTTCATTAATTATTTTATGGTGAGAAATCCTTTTAATTATTGCCTATTTATTTAACACTGAGCGCAATTTTAAGATTTTCGTGTTTAATTTGTATTTGGAACCAGAAAAACAAAAAGTAATTTATAATTTTTAATAATTATATAGTCAATCGACAAATTTTTTTTCTTCTGGTTTGGATGCTATAGCAACAAAACGATGAGTGCTAAAATAAATATTTTTAGTTAAGAAACATAAGACAATAAGTTTAATTAATAAAATTAACAGAGTAGTTGCAGATATGAAAAAGTTGGCCATCCAAATTTAATTACCAAATAGATTTTCAGGAGTATAAAATTCTTATTCATCTGTAGTTTATTGATCAGTTTAATCAGTTTAATCAGTTTAATTAGTTTAATCAGTTTCATCAGTTTCATCAGTTTCTTCTTCAGGTAATTAACATTAATCTCCCATACCCAATAATACTTTTAAACCTTAAAAGAAAGAAATGCCTCCTATAGCAACTAAAAGTGCAATTTAGCATAAGATAACTACAATTAATCTAAACCATCTATCATCAGAAGCATATTTGACTCTATAAATGTAAAAGTCTAGAAGACTAGAAAAGAACACAGCAATTAATTATCCTATAATCCAAGGTTTATAAGAGACTGTACAATTATCATCCAAACCATTAATTTCAACAACATATGCAATAATAACTGCAGCAATCATTAATAAAGAGATTATGCATTATGCCAAAAATGCAGCAGGAGATACATTCTTCCATAATGGAGCACTTTCACCTGTAAATTCTCCTTTATCTGATTTCATTATATAAGTTTTGCCCCATTGACATTTATAACATCTCTTTACATATGCTAATAATACACTCATTAAATTCAATATTTATATATTAATATTTCATTAAAAGAATTAACTCAATAATCCACCAATACCAGATTATTAATTTTCCTTATCTTTTAATCCAAAATACTTTACACCTACTTTATAATATAACTAATTATATATATTATAAATTCTTATACATCCTAAAAAATGGGATCTGCATTTATAACAATTTAGAATTTATTAAAAACTAAATCATATGCTTCTCTGCTTTTAATTCTTATTGATTTCACTAATAAATGAATAAATAATGCTTCCTAAGTTACTGTTGTAGGAATCAATTCATTTAATATTTTAACACTCTCATTATATAATCCCTAACCTAATTTACTAATTTTATTGCTCTCTAATTTACATCAATAAATATCTAATTAAGTTATACTATCTTTCTTATTCTGGTAATTATTAATTCCATTTTACTAACATCTAAATTTCTGTATTTACATCTGATAATTATATCAAATATCTCCATGCTAAATGAAATTTATTATTATTAAATAAATCCACTCCAACTTATTAACAAATTTAATCTTTATAATTTGGATATTTCTTTAACACTTTATTAATGAATTGCACTTTCAATTTACTAAATTAAGCTATTGAATAAATTGACATGATTTCGGCTTTTCATAATTAATTTATTAATCTTACCAATACTTTAAGAATCTAAATCATCTTATAATTTTATCACTTCTGTTGCTAAATTAAATCCTGAATTATCTTAATTATTTTTAACTAACACTTTGCTAGCTTATAAATACAAATAAATAGCTCCCTCTTTATTTTATTAATTAATAAATCTTGATCCAAAAGTCAATATTTTTTACTCATATTCATAGTATTTCTATTCTTTTAACAATTATTCTTATTTCATTAATATCTATTATAAAATTTAGAAACTACTTGCTGTACTTTCTCAGAATTTGATATTTCGACGTTCATAATAATTTTTATATATTTAATATAAGTCAATTAATTATACTAGATTCTTCTTTGACTTATAATTGTGTAATATTATTAAAGTTCTAAAATAATTTAGTTTCTATTTATACTTAGATCATCATCATTAATTAAAAATTTAGCAGTTTTTATTAAGCCAACTCTCTTTAGCATAAAGCCAAGGCTATTTAAGTGTTATCAAGATTTGGTGAACTCATCACTGGAATCATTGTTTATTATTAAGGTTATGCTTAAGGTTAAGGTTAAAGTCTTTTCTCTGGAGAAGTTACTTTTATTTGCATCATAGGTTGTTCAAGATTATACATTGATTAAATCTTTCTTGTCTGATTATAATCTCCTAAATCCTATTTACTCTTATTTCTATCTCTTGTCTTTTTCTTACCAACTCGACCTTCTTTTCGATAAGTTTGTAAAATAGCTTTTGCTGTAGAAAAGTTTATTCCAAATTCTTTTGCAGCCTCTTTTATTGTTGATTCTTTTGAAAGTATACGACGTAATAATTATATGCGAACATCTTAATCTATAATCGCATACTTTTTATTATCTCTATTCCTTAATTCATCCATATTATCTTCATTGCTTACTTTTAAATTAATTATTTACTCTTAATCTGGCGTGAAACTGTTCTCACTCTCTTACCCTCGGTGTATCATTTATTTATATATATGAGATAAATTTATATATCAAATTATTAAGATTCAATTTAATCTTTAAATCAACTTATATATTACTTAGGTTTAACTATTATTAGACAAAAAAAATGATAATATTTTATATTAACAATTATGGTAATATCTTTTAATAATATCACAAATACATCATTATTTTGAGACTCAATTAAAGACTTTAAATATTTAATCATTTTATTCATATCAATCCTTTTAATTTTATTAACAACCCTTCACACCATTATAGATTTTATATAAATGAAAGTTATTTCAACTTAAAACTTTCATAATACTTTATAAAATTAATCAATTCGATTATCATCATAATTATATAAATTATGGACAATGTGCAAACATATACTTATTTTGACAATTACCATCGAGGGGAAGAATAGAATCTATAACAACTCATATAATAATAATTATTCTTTATTTTTCTGTTTCATTCTAAATTTATAAAATAGGGAATTTTTCTTTTAATTCTTATTTAACATTCAAATACTTAATAAGCCTTTAAGATGTAAAACTATATTTGATAATATTCTATAATCTTATTCAATTATAATTCATAATCCCATCAGATTTGACACACACTAAATAGATCAATATTTTTCATTCGTTATTATTTTTGAAAATTAAGAATTTATTATATTCTAAAACTTTAGCATCTGAATAATCTATGAATTCATTCATTGAAATCTATATCTCACCTTTAATTATTAAATAAATTGAATAAAAAATTTGTAATTCTCTATTTTCTTGTTTTTATCTTTCTATTAATGACTTTTAAAATGATCATTACTTTTTATTAAAATTACAGCTTCTTCTTATATGTGATTTGTAATATAATTTCATGTTTTTTTGATAATGAAATGAAGTTTACATTTTTCTCCCCGTTTCACTTTAATGAATACTACACTAAATGCATAAAATCTTTCAATAGTATTAGTTTGGATCTTTCGAAATAATGCACTTTATATTCCAAACAATAATGCTTTTGTTAATTTGATCTATCTTTGGTTCAAGACTTAATATTGCTATCATTATATATTCTTCAGATAAAAGTTTCAATATTTTTCATTTGAATTTTTTATCAGATTCTCCTGAATCATAATCAGATGCAAAACTCATAAGCAAAATAATTTTATATAAATAACATCAAAAATCAAAATAATTTTTACTTTTCTTAATCAGAACTCATAAAATTATTAGTTAATTCTCTTTTGGCTTTTTGACTAAGTACTTCATGTAAATTTTACACTTAACTAACCTAAAATTCTATTAATTTTCTTTTAAATTAGTTTTCTTATAAAAATCTATCAAATCCATCATTAGAATCTATTTCCATATCTTGATTTTTATATCTACTTCTAGCTGTATCAAAATATGAATGCAATTCTTTTCCCATTAAATTTATTCTCTTTCTTAATATTTAATTTGATATTTTATGTTCATCTTCAAATAATTCACATTTATCCATAATTGTCTTAATTTTTTAACTAAAATCAGTATTTTAAGTATTAATTGGAAATCTACTATCACTAAAAGTACCTATTNACATATACTTATTTTGACAATTACCATCGAGGGGAAGAATAGAATCTATAACAACTCATATAATAATAATTATTCTTTATTTTTCTGTTTCATTCTAAATTTATAAAATAGGGAATTTTTCTTTTAATTCTTATTTAACATTCAAATACTTAATAAGCCTTTAAGATGTAAAACTATATTTGATAATATTCTATAATCTTATTCAATTATAATTCATAATCCCATCAGATTTGACACACACTAAATAGATCAATATTTTTCATTCGTTATTATTTTTGAAAATTAAGAATTTATTATATTCTAAAACTTTAGCATCTGAATAATCTATGAATTCATTCATTGAAATCTATATCTCACCTTTAATTATTAAATAAATTGAATAAAAAATTTGTAATTCTCTATTTTCTTGTTTTTATCTTTCTATTAATGACTTTTAAAATGATCATTACTTTTTATTAAAATTACAGCTTCTTCTTATATGTGATTTGTAATATAATTTCATGTTTTTTTGATAATGAAATGAAGTTTACATTTTTCTCCCCGTTTCACTTTAATGAATACTACACTAAATGCATAAAATCTTTCAATAGTATTAGTTTGGATCTTTCGAAATAATGCACTTTATATTCCAAACAATAATGCTTTTGTTAATTTGATCTATCTTTGGTTCAAGACTTAATATTGCTATCATTATATATTCTTCAGATAAAAGTTTCAATATTTTTCATTTGAATTTTTTATCAGATTCTCCTGAATCATAATCAGATGCAAAACTCATAAGCAAAATAATTTTATATAAATAACATCAAAAATCAAAATAATTTTTACTTTTCTTAATCAGAACTCATAAAATTATTAGTTAATTCTCTTTTGGCTTTTTGACTAAGTACTTCATGTAAATTTTACACTTAACTAACCTAAAATTCTATTAATTTTCTTTTAAATTAGTTTTCTTATAAAAATCTATCAAATCCATCATTAGAATCTATTTCCATATCTTGATTTTTATATCTACTTCTAGCTGTATCAAAATATGAATGCAATTCTTTTCCCATTAAATTTATTCTCTTTCTTAATATTTAATTTGATATTTTATGTTCATCTTCAAATAATTCACATTTATCCATAATTGTCTTAATTTTTTAACTAAAATCAGTATTTTAAGTATTAATTGGAAATCTACTATCACTAAAAGTACCTATTGAAGTTGTCATTTAACTTGGTTTAAATTCTTAATGCATAGATGTTTATGGTGACATTTATACTGTAGTTGGTTAAGAAATAAAAATATTATTTGTTGGTGTAAATTATTATGAAAGTGTAACTTTATGTTTTGATTCTGGAGTTTTATTTTTCAAATGAAAGAAATGTTTTTTAGTATTATTCTTTGAAGAATGATGAGATTTAAATTTAAAAATTTCAGCAAACATTCTATCTTAAATTTCTTTTTATTTTTTGATTTTACACATATTAATTTATCCTTATTTTTTAAATTCTGGTTCAAATTAATCATATCTTGTTTCTTTATAAATATTGACAAGATTTTAATTATATTATTTATCTAATTTCATCAATTATTCTAATTCTTCTTATTTAATTCTTTTCTATATAAGTTCTTTTAAAATTTATTCTTAATTATCTAATTTTAATTCTTTTTTTTCTACTTCTACTTTCAACAATTTTCCTATATCAATTTCAGGATGATTTCTACATATTTCTGTTAAAAAATATTTCACTTATTCTTCATCTTCTAATTCTACATGATTTAATTCATTTAATTAATATGATTTCTTAGCTTATAATTTTACTAAGTTAGCTTTTAAATTTGCTAATTTATATTCCTAATACAATGGACTAATTTGATGTTATTTAAGTAATTCATCATTTAAATAGGAAGCTAGTCTAACTTCTGGTTTTACTGGTGGTGATCTAAATTTGTACCTAAACTTTTTTTCTAAATCATCTTTCTAAACTGATAAAGACTTATGTTTTATAGAAGCTTTTCTTTTTATTTTCTATCCCTCTGTATTTTTATCTTTTGGAATTTTTATTTTTAAGTTCATTATTCGTTTAGCTGATAAATCGTTGCTGCCACTTTAAACTAATATATTCATCTAATACATCGTATATCAGCTAACTTTTTGTTTATAAAAAGAACAAAATTTTAATCAGTGAAATCATCGTAATATACAGGCTTTTATCTTATTGGAAATTGTTAGACAGTTTTCTTAACCAAAAATCCTTAGAAACTCATTTATTAATAAATAAAATTATTGAGTTTTTTTCATTTTTTATTTACCATATATACATCCATTATAATAAACAATGAATTATCTCAAAATTTTTAAAATTCAGAACTTTTAGAATTACTATCATTTACAATTAATACCTGAGTAATAAAAATTAATTATTTAGTTATTCAAAAAGTATGATGACTTTGAAAAATGATGCACCAATAATCTAAATATTAAAATAATTATAAAAACAATTAATATTTAATATGAAAAATAAAGTAGCAGTATCAAATGATCACTTTTATTTATTAATAATATAAAAACTATAAATTATGAATTAATCATCAAGATTTATAAAGTAGAATGAAAATAATTAACAACAATTATAATTATAAGAAAAGTTGATTTAAATAGAGAATTTAATATAACAAACATATGATGAATGTGAATTGTTAATAAAATGGTTTAGAAATTTAACAGAATCAATATTTTCACCATTAGTTAAATTAAAAATGGAAATTCTGGACAAATATCAGATTTCAAAAGGCAGGCTTGATGAATTGGATTTAATATTAATAAATAACGCATATTTTAATATCTTAACTTTTAAAGACTATTAAAAAGATTTTAAAATTGCATTAGAGAAAGAAGCTAATAATTAAATATCTATTATTAAAAAAAAGAATTCAGAATTATATTTAAATTAAATATTATATTCAACAATAAGGTATGAAGATATTGCTAATTCAAAAAAGGAGTAGGATAAAGGTATTGATTTTATTAATCTTAGCACATTCTTAATTTCCTCAAATAATATTGTTTAACTATATAATGGAACGAAGGAAAATATTAAGAAGCAATTCCTTATTTAGATAGAGCTATATAATTGAATCCTAAAAATTAGTCAGCATATTGGGCAATATTGTCGATTAGGACATAGCTTAAAATTAAATGACAAAGATCTCAAATTATAAGATTATGAAAAAATCTGAAGAGGCCTTAATTTATTATGATAAAGCACTAGATCTTAATCCATCTGACTCTTGTTCATTAGATGGAAAGGCTACCTTTATTCTATTTATAGGGTGTTTTACTACAAAAATATCTTATTAAATAATATAAAAGTAAAATTATAGAAAAAGAATTTAGAAGCTATTTAATTATTTGATTAGGTTTCTGCTATTAATCCTTTCGACGCTTATGCTTACTCAGAGAAAGGGAAAAAGAATTGATTGAACTTTTTAGCAGATACTCTATTATAAATTTAATTTTATCAAGCAATGGAACAGTGGAAAGAAGCTATAGTTTTATATGATAAAGCTATATCTCTAAAATCATTTAGCTTTCTTTGGAAAAGGTAATTAATTATATCTATTAAATTAGGAGATTGCTTGAGAATTTTAAAATATTATGAGGATGCATTAATTAATTTAGAATAAGTATTAGAAATTAAACATGATCATTGTTTT